GGGACACAGGCAAAAGTGCACAGCTTGCCAGTTCAGGCAGGAAGAAGTCCCCGGTGCTTGTGGCTGGTCTCTTTACCCTACCTGGTCTTCACAGATCTTGGTTTCTGTAGGACCCAAGAGCCTCCGCCCTGTCTTCACGGAGCTAGATGCTTCCACACACACATCCCAGACAAGTGAACCTCATAGAATAATTTCTATTCTATCGAGCTGCCGATCGGCACTGGGGGGACAGCTGGAGTAACTGTTATCTAAGTGCACAGGAGGATGGCTAATGCTGAGGTCTGCACACTCTACATCTTAATTAGAGGACGACTCCCCCCCCCTTTATAAACCCCATTGGATGCTCCCATTGACCCCCTTGAACACCAGTGTAGGAGACCCCGCATTAGAGGCACACCAAGCCCTATTTGTCTTTTTTTTTTTTTTTTTTTTAAATAAATGGGTTTTCAATGCAAGGTTTCTCTGTGTAGCCCTGGTCGTTCTATAGACCAGGTTGGTCTCAAACTCAGGGATCCGCTTGCCTCTGCTTCCTAAGTGTTGGGAGTAAGGCATGCGCCACCATCCAGCTCGATTTGTGTCTTTTTAGATGAAGATAGCGCAGAAAGTTACTCCTTTAAGTCCATTCAATTGTGTTTAAAAATAAAATCACTTTCTATGCTCACAATGAATACATTAGGGGAAGTTTACAGTATCCTTCTTTCCCTTTAATTTGCTATGTGTAACACCCAAGCAAAGGCTGACTGAATGAGAAGCTGCCTCATTTTCATAGAAAGGTTTTCCTACAATGTGACTTTTTTATTTTTGGCCCATTAACAAATTCTCATTTGTTTTCCTCTTCCTGAACGTTTGTTTCCATTCTGCCAAATGACAAGTTGTAATATGTTATATAAACCTATTCAGGAATTAAGCCCCCCAATGGATGAGGACATGCACCTCTATTCTATGCTTGCCCTGATCACCATGGCAGATGGCAAGCTCCACTGCAGTCATTTTAAAGTTGGAAACACTAGAATTCTTGCAGTTGAAATGAAAGTCGTGTTTTGCTAGCCTTTCCTGCCGACATCTCTGTGAACAATCCAGCCACTCCAATACACTGATGGATCTCCTCCTTGTGCCTAAATTTTGTATTGAATTCCCCCAGAACACATCGCTGAAGACGCAGCAGGCCTCGGCTGTCCCAGGAAATGTGCAGTCATTGCAATCCACCGGTAAGAGGTATCTTCAGGAGGAACTGGTTCACTTGTTTATCTTGTGAAAACTCTAAAGATGCAGTGACATCATATTCAAGAAACTGACGGTGTGTGTGTGTGTGTGTGATGCATCAAAAAGCAGAAAGAGAGCAGATTGAATGGTCACCTCTAATGTGACTGTGCTGGCCTCTGGCATTGACTGCTTAGCATGGGCAAGGGACCCAGAGCCACAGAGGTTCCCTGTGTGTAGGTCACAATCAGCTTCAATGGAATATTCTAACCACCACCAGTGGATACCAGAATGCTAATATGTTTTCCCGTATTTATAGCTTCCCTAATATAATCTGGTGTTGAGAATTAAAGTAGCTCAAACAGAACAGAAAAAAATATCTGGTTTCACAGTATTTCTTGGGATTATGATTTGGGCCACACAATTAATAGGAAATGGTATCATGATTTAAATGTGTCTCCTTCAAAATCTGAGTGTTGAATCAATGGCCAACAGGATGCTGTCAGGAACTGAGGGCTGCTGGGCATCGTTGCGCACACCTTTAATCCTGGTACTCAGGAGGCAGAGGCAGGTGGGTCTCTGAATTTGAGGCCAGCCTGGTCTACAGAGTGAGTTCTAAGACAATCAGAACTAGATAGTAAGACCCTGTTTCAAAGAAGAAATAAGAGTTGAGGACTAATAAATATGTGGGGGGGGGAGGATGTTCAACATTCATAATAGCCATCTTACACCATCAGACTAAGTACCCACAAACAGACGAGTGGATAAAGAAACATAGCTAACATACAGTGGAGTTTCATTCAACCATAAAAGAGGAAAATGGTTGTTGGGAAACGAGCATGAAGAGTATTATACTGAGCAAAATAAGCCAGACTCAAAATTATCATGGTTGGTGCCTTTACACATTCCACGAAAGCAGAAGGTGGCATGCGCTGGCTTTCTATCATATGTAATATCGGTTTTCAGGCTGTGCTTAGCTTGAAATGACCCCCTTTCATAAAGCCTTGACCTGAGTAGTGCCATTTTGAGCCTAAATGCCAGGAAAGAACAGCCGTAGCACATCTTGTTCAAGGGCCCAAACACCCAATCTCTGCCAGTGCAGAAGGCACAAACATAACAACAACAACAAAAAAAAAAGACGCCTAGCAATGCCTGGGGTTGCCCAAACCCTCCACACGGAAGGAATGCCCCAGGGTGAAGGGTGGCATGTAGCAGGTTTTCTTTTGGGCCCCAAATCATGACATGGAGACTTCTCGTTAGTTATGAGTGCTCAGCCTTAACTTATGCTTGTCGCTCGAGCTCTTAACTTAACCTGTTCTCATCTACATTTTGCATCGGGTTTTTTTTACCTTTCTTCCCTTCTGATTATCTTACTGTCACTGGTGTCTGGCAGCTGTCTGGCTCCCAGCCCCCTCTCTTCCTTACTCGGTCTCTCCTCTCTTCTTTCTAGTTCTCCTACTTACTCTCTCTACCCTAGCTATCCCTCTCCTGCCTAGCTATTGACCTTTCAGGGTTTATCGGACCAATCAGGTGCCTTAGGCAGGCAAGGTGAAACAAACACTTACAGAATTAAACACATGCAGCCTAAACAAATGTAACACGCCCTTGCATTGCTAACAAAGGCAGCAGAAACGGATGTAACACACCTTCACATAGGTAAATACTCTGCCACATAAACAAATGTAACACATCTTTGCCTGGTTAAAATAGTATTTCATGACAGTGGCAGGCACACTAACTACCCACCCCATCTACAGTGTGTGTGTGTCCTATCCATATACAGTGGTTATGTGTCTATGTGTCCCTATCCATCTACAGGTCAATCTGATGTGTATATTTAATAGATGGGTAGAGCAGACACAGACAGACAGATTGTAATCTCAAAGGATGAAGCAAGAGGATTGACAACTTTGAGGCCATACATAGCCTGTTTCAAAAAATGCAAAATGACAACAAAAGTAAAAAGGAATACCCAGAGAGTGGCAGAAAATATCTGGTAAGAGACTTTCCTGGCCCGACTCTTCGGTTGTTGAGGCAGGGTCTCGCCGTGTAGCCTCAGCTGGCCTGGAACTCTATTCTGTAGTCCCAGCTCACCTCAGACTTATGACCCAGAGAAGTACAGAAACGGCCAGTAAGCGCATCATTTGCTCAGTGCCCAGCCCCGTGGACATAGTCAAAAGCACCCACAGTTTGGAATGCTAACAGGGATGATGGACAACTGGAGCCTGCTGCTCTGCTCAAGGAAACAGGAAGCATTTGACAGGCAAGTCACTCCGTGACCCAGCGCTTGCACTCACTTACCTACCCAGAAACCCTGAAAGCAGGAGGCACCAGTCTCTCTGTCCATCAACAGTCCTAGCAACAGCATCCCGAGAGGGAAAACGGAGACTCTGGGCCAGCCCGTGGCCATTTGGAAGGCGGAGGCTCAGAGATCACTAGTGTGCATCCTAGGCTGCGTAGCAAGTTCAGTGCCGACTTGGGCAATGTGGGACCCTATCTGAAAACAAGCACCTTAAGACCAACAAGGGATTTTTTAAAAAGAGAAAGAGTGCTGAGGGCAAATAAAATGTGGTATAGCTATGCCATGGAGTACTATTCAGCCGTCAAAAGGGAAAGTCCTGGTGACATGCTACAACTAACCATCCTTTCAAAGAAGCCAATCACAAAATGCCCAGAACATGTCAGTAAATACACAGAAACAAAACGATTAGTTATCGATGGTGCTGGGCTTTAGGGGTGACAAATGTTCTGAATTCAGTTGTAAAGGTGACTGCACAAGCTTGTAAGTGTACTAAAACACTGTGCTCTTCAACTAAATCATACTGAATTCTGGGAATAAAGCTGTTTAAAAAAAAAAAAAAAAAAAAAAAAAAAAAAAAGGTGGTTAATGGGTTATCAGTACATACCTGCAATCCCAGCACTTGGAAAGCTGAGGTCTGGGGGTAATGAGTTTGAGACCAACCTCCACTACAGATAAGAGTTCTAGATTAGCCAGGCATGGTAGAAAATGGCTCTAATTCCAATCAGGAGGCAGAGGCAGGTAGATCTCTGAGTTTGAGGCCAGCCTGGTCTAGAAGTTTCCAGGACAGCCAGGGCTACACAGAGACCATATCACAAACAAACAAAGTTCTAGGCCAACTTTGGCTCTATAGTGTGTGTGTGTGTGTGTGTGTGTGTGTGTGTGTCTTTAGTTTCATTCTGTAATCTTACCACTACTTGGGAGGCAGAAGGGCCACAGAGAGTTCAAGGCCATTCTAGGCTACAAAATCAACCTGTCTCAAAAAAATGAATAAATAACCAACAGAAAGGTACTGCTTCCTGCTAAGCATTCCATACATAAGAACGCCATCTGGAGCTTACTCTTTCCCAGATGGCCCTTTCTTCTTTGGCTCTGACTTCTTTGCTGTCCCTTACACTGTGTGTTCTTAATAAACCATACAGCAAAACCAGGGGATGCCAGAACAGCGCTCTGCAAAGAGTAGTAAACGACAGCTCACGTCACTGCCATGAAGGCGATGGAAACACCTCAGTCTGATGCCAGGTTATGCAGTTACAACTTGCTGAGCATCTCAGTGAGTTGACGCTTAAAACCGACTCGTGAACAGGAAGCAGCTCATCCCGGAAGAATCCCAAGACAGAGCAAGAACAGAGCCGGATTTCACTTATGTCACACTGTGTCACAGATATAGGCAAAGGTCAAAAAATGCACGGCGCAGGCAAAGGGTACAGCGCAGACAGACCTCCCGAAAGAGAGGGAGACCAGTGAGAATTCTCAGTAGGATTCATTTTATTATTCCAGTACCAAGAAAAGCGTTTCCAGGTTTGTTTCCATTGTGTTTTCTCAAAACAAAGTGTCATGAATTTGCTGACTGTGCTGGCTGAGGTGCGGAACGATACGAAGCGTAATGAAATAGTGAGCTCAGACTGGCGGTATCGGAAACAACGCAAAACAAGCTTTTCCAGCCGTCACGCTCTCCTGTTTCTGCAAACCGGAAGCCACTGCAAGCCGTGGCTGTCCGGACACCTGTGTGGTGGTGCCTTCAACCCGGGGAAGGGGAAAGCTTCCGGACTTGTACTACAGACACCACTTGTTTTAGTATTGTTTGTGCTTTGACCCCCATCACAGGTCAATCAAAATACAACATCAGGCAAGGGAACGGGCATTTAAGACTTAGCCGCATGCATGTAAGAGCGCAGCTGCAGTGCGAGCCTGAGGTAATTCCGTCTCTGTGTGCTCAAGCATCACAGACATGCCTCCCTGTGGAGCCGTTACAGGACACATGCTCACTAGGCCATTAGTTCAAGAGCCAAAACTAAGTTAAATAATGTTTGCTTCTTAGGATATTAAATAATCATCCTGTTTAAGGAAGGAGGGGGAAAAAAAAAAAACAAAAAACAAAACCCAGGATTAACTAACTTAAAAAAGCAGAATTCACTTTTGTTTTGTATTCTTTGCAATTAAAAATGAATTCATTAAAACCACTTCAAAGTATGCATTTAGCTTGAAATAGTGATTGAAATCCCAGCAGAGTGCAACCCTGTCTTCCCAAGCGTGGCAGTGGGAAACTGTTCCGAGGAATCATGGGAGCTGAGAAACGGGGCTTCCCAGGCTGATGAGAAGCCAGGACTAGATCCACGCACTTTTTCTGGGGCCAAGAGGAGATTAACCAGGAATTCCTGAGCAGAGTCAAAGTGGACCATCAAACTGAAATACTCCATACTTGCCGGTGGTCAGCCAGTGGGGATCAAAAGCCATGAGCTGCTCAGCCTGCCCAGGTTGTAGACCAACCTGAAGCTCACACTTCAATGTTCTTATGCTACACAGAGGTGCCGGGTGGAAGCCACACAGCGCCTCATGGAATGGAAAGGTAAACTCCCATTTCCTGTCACTCATCAACTTCCTATAATTCAAATCTCCCTTGAATAAAATGAGGCATGCCTTCTGTAGTTTAGTATACAGGTCAGGGGCGACCTGGGGCATTGCACAATATGGGTGAGGCAGAGTCCAAAATATGTGGTCGTGGTAAATCCATCTACCCATCTTAACATGGTTTTCCCACTCAGCACCGCAGGTGGACGTGAACTTCTGATTGCTACCCCTTACATGTTCAATGATCCAATTAAAGTCATGCATGGTTACGTCAGAAACAAACCACGGGATAGTTTTCCCGTGAAAATGAATCTCAGTAGCTAACTCAGAGGATAACAGGAAGTCAGCGAGGACTAGATCTGTGACAAGTTCAAAGCCAGAATTATCCAGAACGATGTCTACTCTAACTACGGACGATTTTGCTGCTTTCTTGTATGTACTGAGCAATTCCCAAAGAGACTCTGTATCGTTTATCAGGATGAATGGCATTAGGCCTTCCAAAGAATTAATGACATCGGTCTTCTCGGAACTGCTTTCTCCACCTGACAGAGACAAGTCACACTTGTTCCCCCAGAGGGAGATCTGAAATGGAAAGGGAAAAAAAAATGGTTATTATTCTTCCAGAACCAACAAAAACTCCGCCACACAGGAAGGCAGCCAAAATATTCCTATTTCTACAAAATTCTTAAAATGTCTGCCAATCTACTTTCTCCAGTGGCACAGAAATGTATTTACCCAATACTGCATTTAATAAGGTAAAGCAATGCTATTTCAGTGAATATATGAAAATTTTAAGTACTACTAGGACCTATGTTACTCATTTAGCTACACAGATGTTCAAACACCATCAGATGCTGAGAGAGGGTCAGAATTTGTTCCATAATTGGAAATCAAGAGAGGAAGGAAAGTTCCTTCCTTTTCCGCATCTCCAAATCACCTCACTTTTGGGTACTTGAGGTATGACAGTAGGAGGGCATGTCACAGAATGACGGGACCATCTCAGGAAGAAGGAAGGAAGGCACTTCTGAGACGTGGCTTTTGTTCGCTTGCTAATGGACACTGGACACAGAGACATCTCAAAAGAGACCTAACCCGTACAACAAGGTGATGCTAACCACAGGCCCCCAATGTAGTCATTTGCTTACTATTTAGCTCTATACTGAAGTAATGCTCAATGCGGTTTTTTAGAAAATGATACTTTTTCTTTTTTTTTTAACCACGTCCTGCAGGCTTGGAGTCAGACCTGTGCTCAAACTCCAACAACTCCAATTACAGATCACCATCAATCAAGGTTCCCATCACCATCAATCAGGGTTCCTATGGCTCAGGTTCTGCAACGGGAATGAGAGCAGGACCCTCTGCCCCCCACCTGGACTTGTATAACGCACGGCACACCCAGTCTTAGCTATAGAACCATCCCGTGAAGTGGCTGGCGTGGAGCTCAGGGCTACAGGCAGCACTTGCCTGGCACACTGGAGGGCCCGAGTCCAACCCCAGCAGAGCCATATAAAAAGCATGGGCCACAGGGTCTCTGTAGTAACCACCAGCTCTAGGAGTTAGATGCAAAGTCACCACAGACAGTATCAAAGTGTCAACTGTGTTCCAATAAAACTTTGTTCAAAAAAAAAAAAAAAAATTACCCAAGGGGCTACAGGGGTGGTTCAGCAGCTAAGAGCACTAGCTGTCCAATCGTGAGGACCCGAGTTCAATTCCCAGCACTCACATAACAAACACCTAACTCCAGCTCTGGGCAATGTGATGGGACGATACAGGAAAAAGAACTACTTCCGGAAAGAGGGAGCTAGGCGGGGTAATGAGCTGATGCGCAGGCTTCTCGGTCTTCTTAAATCTCAGGCTAACATAAAGGACAGTTCAGAGACAACAAACACCACATAAGAGGAACAAAATAAAGTGGCCAAAGGAGGAATCATAACACAGGTGTTACTGATGAATAAATAACTCCGAAAGCTAACAGATATTTGCATAAACTAACACTCAGGACGAACTGCAGACTATGGTAAAGCCATCCAGATACCTGCAGAAGTTTAAAAAGCGTATCCTTCAGCTCATCCTCGCTGAAGTCTCTGGCTGGTCTCAGCTGCTGGATGTGCATACACAGAGTATCAATGGACTCCTGGGACTCAAAGAAGCTCTCATCTTTGCTTTCTTTAAATACGTCGAAGTCCTGGATCGGTGGACTGAGGGAGGAGGAAACCATAAGCATTTATGTGAGTCCTTACCTTAAAAACAAACAAACACACAACAAAACCCCCACACTTGGGTCACAGCAGCTCCCTAACGGGAAGAATGCATTGCCATCTTGACAACCAGCACTGACAGACATGAGACACAGTCCCAACAACTCAGTCACACAAGGATAAATAAGTCTCCGGGCCAGATGGGGCTAGTGCTGCACACCTCAAGTCCTGGTACACCAGAGGCAAAGGCAGGTGGAACTCTTGAGTTCAAGGCTAGCCTGGTGTGCATAGCAAAATCCAGGCCAACCAGGGTTACATAGAAAGACCTTATCTCAAAGAAAATAAACAAAACTCAAACTCAGATAAACTATTTTACCAGAACTAGCTAGCAATTTATAGTGACCGTGTCCATAATTATTTACCTACCAGACACAACTGGAGTGGGAAACGGGATTACAAGGTAACTATGTTTTTCAGCATCCTTTTATAACCTATGTGAAGGGCTCCTGTTAGTAAACACTATCCCTGAATGCCACAGTGATCACCCTCATGTAGGGCCAGAGCACTTGAGGAAAACACAATTAATACTCCAGTAAACACTGGATCATTTATACACAGATCTGGGGTGTCGAATTTTATTCTCCGGTGACTTCTGACCTAAGGTGAGGTCTGTGTCTTGTCTCTGTCATCTTCATGAGAAGTTACGTGAGAAAAATAACAAGATGTAAGTACTAATGTGACAGCCACTAAGGAATTGAGAAGACACCCTGATTAATCAGTTATTGGCATTCTTGATGGGCCATCCACATTAGTATAAAAACAACACAGGCCTTGTGTAATGGGTTTGACTTGGGAGGGTTTTTATTTGGGGGGGGGATGTGTTTTGGAGTGGTTTATATTGGTCATCAACTGGATCTAGAATCACCTTGGAAGCAACTCTCTGAACATGCCGGTGAGATTGTCTAGATCCGCTCAGCTGAGTCGGGCAGTCCCATCCTACCCGTGGCCAGCACATCCTCTGGGCTGCATGAACTGGAGAAGAGCTCCAGCTGCATCACGCCCTGCTGACTGCAGATCTGACCGTCTGCCCACATTGCCCAAGAATGCCACCACGCGCTCCCTTCTGTAAGGCAGCCATGCGACCCCTCCTCTCAAGTTGCTTCCTGCCGAGTGCTCAGCCACAACACGGAGGAAACTTCTTACCATTAATAGAGCATTGACTCTCTGTGTTCTACCTTAATTGAAAGGAAAATAGGGCCCTACTCTATAGCTCTGGCCTGTAACTAACGATGTAACTAAGCTGGCCTCGAACTCAGAGATCCGCCTGCCTCTGCCTCTGAAGTGCTGTGATTAAAGGCGGGCACCACAACATCCAGCTCCATCTTAAATATTTTATGTATGTAATCATTTCAAATGAACACTTGTTTAGTCAGTAAGCAATTTGTTTTTACTATAGAAGACTTTTCTAAGAATTTTTAAGGCTGAGCTGGGCATTGGTGGCACGCGCCTCTAGTCCCAGCCCTCGGGAGGCAGATGCAGGCGGATCTTTGTGAGGCGGATCCTGGTCTACAGAGCGAGTTCCAGGACAGACTCCAAAGCCACAGAGAAACCCTGTCTTAAAAAACAAACAAACAAACAAACAAACAAACAAACAGGAATTTTCAAGGCTGGGTGAGAAGGTGTAAGAGACCCGATTCCTATACGCTGTCTATACGCTGTCCTCTGACTCCACATGCACACACGAAGTCTGTCGTAAGATCGTATGATTCGATCACTTGTGGAAATGTCCAAACAGTACTGTTACTGTTCGCTAAATTATTCTTTCCTTTACACCCATTTATTTACTGAGGGCTACACCCATGACCCCCGTGGAAGTCAGGCCAGAAAAGAACTTTCAGCAGCCAGTTCCCTCCTTCCACCATGTGGATCCCTCTCTTTTGGCAGCAAGCCCCTCACCTGCTGAGCCATCTCGCTGGCCCCTGCTGAACTATTCAAAATTAAGCATCGACTGCTAGCACTTGCTACCCAGTAGCGGTAAACTTGCCTCTGCACGATGGCCTCATGAATCCTCCGATACATGTAGCACTCTACAAACAACCAGGGCGAGAAGAACCAGCGCGGCTCCTCGTCGCTTCCATTCAACAGGCTCCGCTCATGTCCCAGGTAATGGTTCCATATGTCAGTGTCAACCCATTTATCAGCCAAGCGGGTGATTGGTTTATCAGTCTGTAACTCATTCCGTAATTTGGAGAGAAGAGAGATGGCTTTCTTCTCAGCTTCCACCCCTTCCTGGGGAAGTACAAAGGGACAAAGAGAGAGCTTGGCTGTGTGTGGGGTGCACATTCCTTCAGGGTGGCACATCTTTACAGTCCAAAGTGGAGAGAGGGAAAACACAGTATCCGAGATCCGCATTTGCCTTTTATATGATCTCACAGACATCATACAGATCTCGTCTTAGCGTTGGCGTGGCCGAACAGCCTCTCCGTCCTATTTTCTAAGACCTGGCTTCTGAGCGTTTGTAGAGGTCTCATCAACAGAGAGGGAAGGGAATCACTACACCAGCGCCCTGTACCTTTCCCCTTTGACTGGAAACGAAACCGGGACTCCCTGAGTCTCTCCCGCCAGCTCCCCAGGCTATATCTTACTCCCTACTAAATCCCAGGTCAGTGGCAGATGCCTTGACCCTGGGACACGTCAGAGAGGCAAAGCATGGTGGGATCACACATGGTACCTTCACTGTACACCGGCAAGATGTGTGTCTCATGGGAAACAAATTATAGAAGATTTACGGTAATGTGGACTAAGCAAAGAAGTCAACACTTAAGCAAAGCACCCAAATGTGGCTCGTTCATACTTAAGTAAATATGTACACCCATCAAAATGAACCCGCATGTATGTGATGAGACACAGGAACATTCCTGTGCCCAAATGTCAGTGTCCAAGATGAGCTGGATGTCAGCGATAAAGAATAACAGGCAGCAGCGGGCTGTGGGGGTGTAAGCCTCTGACCCTCGCCAAGAAAAGGAGGCAGAAGGATCCGAGTTCAAGGCCAGCTTAAATTAAGCAGTCTTGAGCAGGGAGAAAAAAAACAAAGTATGGTCCTGTATCACATCAGATTTTGTTTAGAAAGAGATACAACACTGGGGCTGGAGAGCTGGCTCAAGTATTCAGAGCACTTGCTGCTCCTGCTGAGGACCACATGGAAGCATCTGTAACTCCAGGCCCTGGGGACCGGATCCCCTCTTCTGACCTCCACAGCCACTGCATGTATGTGATACACAGACACACGTAGGAGACCAAGCACCCATACACATAACATAGATGGCTTTAAAAAACAGAGAAAGAAATATAACCCTATACACTCAAAATACCTGTGTACAACTTTGCTCCATTTCAATACAGATATTTAAAAAAAACAAAAACAAAAAAAACCCTAACCACTGCTCTACACCTTTGCTGCCAACACCACGCTCAAGAAATGTCCGGGCCTGGCATACAGCTCAGTGGGTAAAGAGCTTGCCTAGCAGGAGGGATCTCTGGGTGAAAGAGGGGAGGGGTCTCAAATCCATTCTCCAGCAATGTATAGCCTGTATGTGGGGGCCCACACCTAAAATCCAAGCATCCAAGATCTTCAGATACTCAAAACCTCGTCTCAAAAGAAAAACACAGGAAACAAGGAGAAGAAGGTGATACAGTGTAGTGTGCTGGCCTTGTACAGCATACCAGTCTAACGATGACTCGCTTCTCAGCTTTAAAGGCTGTCATCGCAATAACAATTACTTCCGAGGTTTTTCCTCCCATATTGACTAAACGGGCACGGTGACTTTTTTGTTGTTGTTTTTTTTTTTTTTTTTTTTGACAGAGGGTTTCTCTGTGGCTTTGGAAGCTGACTTGGAACTAGCTCTTGCAGACCAGGTTGGTCTCGAACTGCCTGCCTCTGCTTCCCGAGTGCTGGGATTACAGGCGTGGGCCACCACTGCCCAGCTGGCAAGGTGACTTTTAAAGTCTTATTTACTCTGACAGCTCATCTTCCACGTTACTGTGTGTCAATCAATCACAACTCACACTTTGAGTTTTACACTTATGGGACTCAAGATCTCAAGCTGGCAATGCAAGTCTGAAATCTAGAAAGGCTCTTCAGAAGTCAACAACTTAATTTGCGACAGAAAACAAGACAAGAGGTTCATTGAGGTTTCCTGAGACTACACAGTTAGTACGCACCACATCTGAACCAGAGGCTGCTGCCCTCGACATACAGAAAAGCGGGCTAGATATGCTAGATATGAATCTTTACATTAAGACATTGTCCTCCCATGAATGCTGTTATTCTCATGAAGAAACAACACAAAACTAAACACAAAGTTCTTACCTTTCCGTGTTTTTCAAAGAATTCACTTTTATGTCGATGCAACGTATCAATAGCCTTGGTTAAGATCTGTGGTAGTCTGTCCTTAACTGTAAGATATGCAAAGGACCTAGGAAAGAGAGTTACACGTGCAGCTTTAACTCTGGAAGACATGCCCGACTTTTAGTTTCTGGGGCACCTCATTTGGATTCAGAATTCTTTGTGTACAATTATGAAAGGCAAACCAGTTTTATCTGCTTTATAAAGAGGCGTGAGACTGGGAATGCAGCTCAGTTGGTAGAGCCCTCAGTCTTGCAAGAATAAAGCCTTAGCAGGGGATGAAACGACTGTGACCTTTGCGACCACTGCGACCCGAGAGGCAGGAGGATCAGTGTTTTAAGGGCCATCCTGGTATATATAGGACCAGTCTGGAAGGGGGCAGGAAGAAGGGAGGGAGGCAGGCAGGCAAAAGACAGAGACAGGAAGGCACAAGAACATTTGAAAATCTAATGTCACGAGCTAAGCGGACTATACTACCAGGTTCTGCCCCAGAACTCCGTTTAATCATTTTCGTTCTATTCTATTCATTTTTGTTCCCTAACTCAGAAACTACTTCAACAATGTGTTGTTGTGGTTTAATAAGGAGAAACAAGTAGGCCGAGTAGCTGTTTCTTCAGGATTGCAGACTTCCCCTGGTGAATTTATTTTGGGGGGCCAGCGAGATGGCTCAGCGGGGTAAAAGCACCGGGTAAACCTGGCCGCCTGCGTTCAACTCCTTTGGAGGTAAAAGGAAAAAAAAAAAAAAAAAAAAAAAAAAAAATCCAACCCCACAGAGCTGCTCCCTGACCTCCATCGCGGGTAATGGCGTGCGCACGCGCACACACTGAAGGCATTTTTAATTTTAATTTTTTTTTTTTGAGTATTAGTTTGACCCACACCAGAAGAACACAGATCTCAGCACGTATGCGCCCTAAATCCTAGCTCCCCCTGCAGCGCTACTCCGGCTCGCTTGCTGCGTTTGAGGCAGGCTTTCCCTAAAGGATCCCCGGGTGGCCTTGAACTCACTCTACTCGAGCAAGCTGGCCTCGACTCAGCCCCAACTCCTGCCAGCCAGCAATCCTCCTGCCTCGGGTTCCCAAACACGCGCCAGCAAGGAAGGAGCCCCACGGCAGGTCCCGACGCTGGCGGGTGCGGCGTGCAGGCTCCTTCCCACCCGAGGCGGGACTCGAACTCTCAGCCTCACACAGGATCGGGCGCCCCCGGCCGTCCACGGCTTCCCCACCCGACCCGGCTTCCCCCCACGGGTGCGCGAGAGAAAAAGCGACACGCACCCCACGTCCTGAGCGGAGAGGAAGGCCGGGAACTCGGCCATGGCCGTGGGCAGGCGGCAGGCGCCACGCGCCGGCGTCACTGGCGGTTGGTTCAGCGGTCGCCGCCGCGGGGCCCAGAAAAGGGGCGCTGGGCCTTTAAAACAAAAAAAAAAGAAAAGAAAAAAAAAAGCGCTTTTGAATCCAAAAACTTTATTCGCGGCCCAGGGACAGGGCACGGGGCGCGAGAGCCTTCCGGCTACGCGAGCGGAAGCCCGAGAGGACCGGAGGCGCTGCGGGCTCCAGCGGAAGAGGGGAAAAAAAAAAAAAGAAGCACGGGGAGGTCACGTGGCCCGGCGATCACGTGCCCCCGGCCGCCCTGCCTGGGGCTGGCAGTGCGCCTGCGCCGCGGCGGGGATGGGCGGGGCGGGCGCAGTGCGTCTCCGCCCGGGCTCCTGCGGCGGGAGCGTGCGTGCGCGCGGCGCTGCGGTCCTCGTCTCCGCGCACAGGTCAGTGCCTGAGGATCAATCACCCTTGAGGTTGGGGGATCGGAGGACGCGCTGCCGAGGTCAGCCCCACCTGCCCGTTGGATCGAGCCCGGATTCAACCGCATTCTTGGCTGATAGCTTTCTGAATCTCGTGCATGCGTACAGTGTGCTTCGATCGTGTCCACCCGCATCCCCCCTCCAACTCCTTGGCCTACGCCCCTCCCGTGTCCCCTTCCCAGCTTAATGGCTTTTATGTGAAACACTGACTGCAGTGAGCGCTTGCCCTTAGGCACACCGGCGTGTTATTCTTAAAGACAGGTGCCCGGTAACGGTAGCTGCCTTGGGTTTCCTTTTAAAATACTAGTTGACACTACTGTCACTGAACACAAGGGTACAGACACAGAAACCTGTTTCGAGGAGAGACAAAGATCTCCTTTCTTGCCTTCCGATGTCGTTGTCGTTACCTAATATGCATTACACTGACTTGTCACATGTACGGTTTGCCATTCCCAGTAAAGGGATGCTTGCCCGTTTTCAGCTGTGTTAGGAGCTAGCGTAAGGCCTGGCATGTGGTTAAGGTGAAGGTTCACAACCCTTGAGTGAGCTAATAAAAATACAGAGTATGTAAGTGATGTTAAATGAGTACAGGTAAGTGCGGTGACCCAGAGATGCCCAGGGGGCCTAGAGCAGAGTATGCAAAGGGGGGGGGGATACCACAGTGATGCAGGGGGCTGGAAAACACGTGCTCTGCAGGGCCTTTGACTCTGTTGTAAATGTAAAGCCAGCTTCGAATTCTGCGCTGCAAAGAGACATGGTTCTAGTATTTTGCTGGAGCCCTTTGTGAATAATCTATGGGAGACTGAGAACCCAAGCAGGACCAGTGTGCCGTCATCTTCCCTGTGAAAGGCAGCTTAAGGGAACAGCTACGTCCATCATGGCAGATTAGGCATGGTGACATGGGCCCGGGCACATTCATTGCATGGCTAGAATGCGGGTTGATCAAAGCTGGCACAGTACTTTCTCCTGTGTCCATAGCTATCCACACTTCAGACAGGTCTTCTCACCTCAGTTCAACCCACCCTCTTTTAACAATTTTATTACTTTATGGGCATAAGTGTTTGCCTGTATGTATCTGTGAGTGAACAAAGTTCATCACAGACAAAAAGTCAAGGGTGTGTCTCCACGGTGATTCTAAATCCAGCCACGCACAGGTCAGACATCATAAAAGAGGTAAAGGGCTATTGTAATGATCGATGTAAAAGTCAGAAACTTAAGCCAGATGGTAGGAGAATTTGTGTGGAGTGCCGGTCAGAAAAAGCCAGTGGGATTTACTGACAGATTGAGTGTGGGGATTGAAGAGAAAAGAAGGAAACTCCAGGTTTAGGGCTTAGCAGCTGAGGATGCCATTGGCACTTGAAAGGGGAAGGGCGTGGTTAGAATGGTTGTGTGGAAGACCTCGGATGCTGAGTTTTGAGCATGTGATAGGCAGATAAATATATGCTACTCATCAGTGCTGATGTATAAAATCAAGGGCTTGGCCAAGGTCACCAAGACACTGAGAAGTGGCCCAGAGACTGAGTTCTGATGTATACGGCATGCTTGAATGGATGAGGAACCAGCAAGAGAGACCAGCAGGAGGAAAACAGCCAATGTGAATATTCTAGAAGCCAAATAGAAAGGTCCTTCAAGGAGTGGAGAGTGAGTTCCAGGGGACCTGATGCCCTGTTCTGACCTCCATGGGCACCAGGCGTGCACGTAATTCACAAATACATACAGGCAAACAGTTGTGCCCATAAAGTAATAAAACCGTTAAAAGAGGGTGGGTTGATGAATGAAATGGGTTGTAGGCTGATGATGGCTGAGGGTTCATCTTGTAGAACTTTCGATTCCTGTTCTGTTAGCGAAAGAGGAAGCAAGGTCATCGTGGAGAATGAGAAAATTGGAGACCTGAGGATTCGAGCTAGGAGAGCAGAGGAGAGTCAGCAGGCATAGCAGGGACATGGTCCTGAGCTGCAGTGAAGAGCCACACCGGAAGAGAGTGGTCCTAGCTGGACCGTGAGATGGAGATTGCTGGTTGGCTGTCTCATCGCAGTGAGCTGCAGGAGTGTAGGCACAATTCGGTTAGGGAAGTCGTGCCCAGTTACGATTGAGGATGTTATCTGGCTTTGGAAGAGGGAGGGATGCAGGCTTCCTGGGACGTTAGCTGGGTGTGAAGGAAATGGAAGTATGGCTTTGGCGGGGGACACTGAAAGTTGTTGGTCCCAGTGAAGAGGGAGAATTGTTGGCTTGGGTAGTGGAAGGAACGGACTAGAAAGATGGGAGGCAGTGTCTGGGGAGCACTTACAGAACACACCAGGGAGATCTTAAGCTTTCTAGATTCTGCATTGATAGGCTGGGCGTTGGTAGCGCACGCACTTGGGAAGCAGAAGCAGGTAGATCTCTGTGAGTTCGAGGCCAGCCTGGTTTACAGAACTAGTTCCAGGGCAGGCTCCAAAGCTATGCAGAGAAACCCTGTCTCAAACAAAGAATCTGCATTGATAAAAGAATTGGGTAAAATTAGCTTTAATAACATATAACCGGTTCCTATATGGGTTAACTAAGATAGTGGTAAGAATCCAGTCCAATAAGGAAAGGCTGGGAGGCTTTGTTTTCATTTAGAGATGGGGGAGGGAGGGTGAGTTCATAGACACATGAGACAGCATGTGGAGGTCAGTCAGAGGGCAACCCACAGGAACCAATTCTCTTACCCTGTGGGTTTTGGGCGTTGAACTTGATCCAGCAGGTTTAACAGCGGGCACATTGACACACTGAGCCATCTCTCAGTCCTGAGCAACTTCCTTTAGCATCTAGACTTCAGTTCCTCGTCTGGGAAATGTCTCCCCAGGCGATTGTGAGGTAAAAGAAAGCATTTAGAATGTAAAAGGTACTGGAAGGTCAAGTCTGGGGTTTTCTCTATTCCTCCTCCTCGTCCTTAGCAGAGACGTATTTCTGAAGCACTCACCTGACCAGGAAGCTCTGTTACTCCAAAGACCTGGCTTCCCCCACCTGTGCAACCTGGAGGATCGTTTTTTTAATGGGTCAGTTAGTATCTGGCCACTTTTCCCTCCGTATCTCCAGCAACTCACTTCTCAGCTGAAATCGCTTGTTCTCAGCCTGTTTGTTAGGTAAATAATACTGTGTACCTGGCCCGTTTGCTCTGCTGACCTCTGCCCTTTCGGGAATCATTGCAGACGTCACCTCTGAGTCTGTTGCAGTCCTCACCCCAGCTCCTCCCTTCTCAAGACGGAGTAGCATTTTGTACATCAAATTCTGGCTCCTTGGCTGGACTGAGTTATAGTCTCTGGTCAATGCTTGTGTCTTCGGCGCCTAACGTTTAAGAATTGTGCTCACCACTTACTGTAGGTTTGCTTTTAGAAGAATGAGCTATTTTATATTGTAAGTGGGTGGGAATCTCACATAACGGCCCATTTCCTTCAGGCTGTGTGTGTGCTTGTCTGTCTAATATACCTTGAGATGAAAAGGAAAACATTACCCGCCTTCTCCAAAGGCCAGAATGTGACGGCAGGGGTGCTTGGCCCTGGATGCACCTGTGGCCTCCGCTAGTTGATGTTTTTTGGTTGTTTGGTTGGTTGGTTTGGTGTGGTGTGGTTTTTGGTCTTTCCAGACATGGTTTCTCTGTGTAACAACTGTGGCTGTCCTGGAACTCACTCTGTAGACCAGGCTGGCCTCAGACTCATAGAGATCATCAACCTCCCAACTAGTTTTGTATGGATTATGAATGTTGAGTAAAGGAATGTGTAAGTTCAGGTTGGTATGTGTACTCATGTGTGTGTGTTGGTTTTGTTTGAGGCTTTTGTTTGTTTGTTTGTTTGTTTGGTTTAGTTTTTAAGAAAGGGTTTCCTCATTGGCTTGGAATTCACTATGTAGAGCAGGCTAGCCTTGAACTCACCTGCCTCTGCCTCCAAAATGATGGAAAGGTTCCATACCTTTTTCTCTTTTAACATCTTTGTTATTGATGGTACATTTATAATTTAATAATCTTCCAGAAAAAGGCCAAATCACGACTAAATGGAAACAAAGTGTGTGTGTGTGTGTGTGTGTGTGTGTGTGTGTTGCATGGCTGAGTAAACCAGGGCTTTGCTTATCCTGAATAAGTACTCTACCACCAAACTATGGCCTTAGCCATATAGTATGTACGAATGATTAGGTTATACTTCTGTTTTATAATTTTCATGAGTATTTTGCACACATGTATGTTTGTGCACCTCACACACGTCAGAAGAGGGCAGAATAGACAGTCGTCAGCCACCATATAGGTGCTGGAAATTGAACCTGTGTCCTCTGCAAGGACCAAGTGCTGGGCCTGACATAGCACTCAGGAGGCAGAGGCCAGCAGATCTTTAATCCTCTGAGGAGGGTCTGGTCTACATAGTGAGCTCCAGGTCAGCCAGGACTGCATGGTGTGAGTCTCCGTCTCGGAAGACAAACAGAAAAAAACACGTGTCCCGGGCTGGCAGGATGGCTCTGCGATGAAAAGCACTGGCTGCTCTTCCAGAGGACCCAGATCCCATTCCCAGCACCCACATGGCAGCTCACATCTATCTGTGGCTCCAGTACCAAGGGCTCCAACAATCCTCACACAGCCACACATGTAGGTAAAACACCAATGCACATAAAAATAAGTTTTTTTGAAAGAGCACATGTTCTTAACTGCTAAGCTGCTGCTGCAGCCCACAAATATGTTTCCTAAGGAAATAAATGTATGTATATTTTAAACATATTTTTAAAACCCAGCCTGACTTTTTGATTCTTCTGATTTCAGCCTGAGATGCGGTCATGCCAGCCAGAGTTCTCCAAACCCTGGCCTCTTTACCCAGCGCGTCATCAAAGGCGCGCCAGTGCAAGAGACTTTCTTGGCTTCAGCTAAAACCACTAGCAGAATCTGAAAGTACAGGATGCCGCAACAGCCTGAAGGTACAGCAGCGTTTAGACTCAGTCTTTCCTCGAACAACAGCTGACAGCCTGAATAAGCCAAAGAGCCTGGAAATGGGCAAGGTGATATCAAGCGCAAGCAGACCCTTTCCGTTAAAAGCTGTCCATTGTTGGGATGGAAAAGCTCGCCTGCCAACCACGCACCCCTTTGGGACTGCCAGGAACGTGACCCACAAGCCAAATCTCTCGTGTGCTCAGTGGTTTATAACAACAGTAAAAAGGCATCACTCTGTATCGACTGAAACACTTGTCCCAAAACAAGACGTTCCACAGATCAAGAGGCCCCTGAAGGCATCGCGGACCCGCCAGCCTTCCAGGACCAACCTTCCGGACCTGTCTGTGAATGAGGTAAAGCCTAGTTCTGTGGCCCTTGAGTGCATCTGCCCTTGCGTGCCCTCTGAACCAGTGTGTGTTGCACCATAACCTCTGTGCTAACTTAGGAGAACTGGGCAACCAGCTTAGAATTCTCTACGAGACCTTTACAGCCTAACTTGCAAGAGTTAGTCGCCCATGTCAAGCGTGGCACCAAAAAGGCCTCAGTTGGTTCAGGAGGGCAAGTTAGGGCAGAGAGAACTAGAAAAGGAGCTTCCGTCCAGTCTAGCCAGGGATGCAACCTGGTTTGGCCACCACCGCTGCTGCTGCATGTAAGAATTGAACCAGAAATGCATGGGGAAATTAAAAAGCGCTAACTGGCAGCCAGCAAATGTTTGTTACTGGCCTGTGGTGACTGCTCAAGGATGATGAAAAAAAAAAAAAAAAAAAAAAAAAGACCCTGCAAGGCAGAACGGAAGCAGTGAGAGGTTTTGCTCTAAGTTCAAGACTTTTTTTGTTTTGATTTTTATTCACTGTTAAGGGATTTCAGGGATTTTCTTTTTTTTTTTTTTTTTTTTTTCAGATGTAGTTTGCATTTGTCCTCCAAGCTTTAAAAAAGTTGAGTCAAGGCCTTTGTTAACTTTGTATCTTGAATGACTTTTGTTTTGTTTTGTGTTGTTTTTATTTTTTGGTTTCTCTGTATTGCTTTGGAGCCGGTCCTGGAACTCACTCTATAGACCAGGCTGGCCTGGAACTCACAGAGATTCACCTGCCTCTGCCTCCTGAGGGCTGAGACTAAAGACGTGTACCACCAGTGCCCGGCTTTGAATGATACCTTAATTTAAATGATATCTTGTATTTAAATGTGTACTAAATTGAAAAAAACAGGCAGAGAGGTCTGTAGGGTTGTGCACCGTGGTGCACTCGCCCATAGTAGATCCAGCTGAGGAGGCTGAAACAGCTGGATTATCTGAACCTAGGAATCAGGCCAGCCTGGATGGTTTAGCAAGATCCTGTTTGCAGAGAAAAGCATGCACGTGTTTAAGTCTTGGCTGGGCTTCTTGAGTCTACCAGAACAGTCAGAACGTCTGTCTGCAACCTTGAGAGGGTGGTCCCTGGGTGTTTAATTTAGATGGGGCTTGTTTCTACTGCCCTGCTGTCAGATTTCGAAAAGGTTAACTTTGTCAGGCATGGTAGGACCCCAAGGCCCATTCAGAAGGCTGAGACAAGAGGATCAAATTTGAAGCCAGCCAAAAAAGAAGTGCAAGCTGAGGCCATGTCTTTAATCCCAGAACTCAGGAGACTAAGGCAGGCAGATCTCTGAGTTCAAGTCCGGCCTGGTGTATATAGCAGTTTCCTGCCTGTTAGTATTCAGGCATCTGCACTGGCCTCCCTTTGGGGTCCTGACAGGACACACCCTCAGCTGCAGCCACTAAGAGCACCACCCGAGCACATTCACTATGTTCCCTTTCTAAAGGGCCCTGCCCGCCTCCCATCCGCCCCTTTCCTCCGTCTGTCCCTTCCCCCCCACACCCCTCTGCCTCTCTGTCCTCTCTCCAGCTGCTCCTGCCTCCCCTCCCCTTTCCCATTTTCACGACCCCTTTCCCCTAATAAAAACCCCCTCTGCTTGAACTCTGTTGCATGGTGTCTTTCTGTCTCTCGCCACTTTTTTATTCCGTCACCACCCAGCCAAGGCTAAATGGCAAGACCTTGTCTCTAAAACGAAAGAGAAAAGCTGTGGCAGGGTGTGTGTGCCTAATCCCTAGGTGGTGAGAGGACTTGCGTGTATCTTATATCCCTGTTCCACTCCACTGAGCTGCCTCTACGCAGACTGTAACGGACAGAAGAGTCTGCAGAGCCCTAGGGTGGTCTGTCACCCTCCAGCCTTATTTCCTACCTCCAGAGGGGTGGAGCTGAAGGTTGCAAGCTTTGGGTCAGACTTCTTCGTATTCCCAGCATCCAGGCGCTTTCCTGGACCCACCCAACAGCCCAAGAGTTACCTCGGGAGAGTAAACGGGTATTCCTTTCACGCTAAACATTCCAGGGGATATAGGATGAGTGCCAGGAACAGGAAGGCAGAGACCCAAGTGTCCATATCACTAGGGAATTACACTGGCTCCAGCTCTACTGGGAGCTGAGGACGAAGGCCAAATGCAAGTTTCATCTGTCCCAGCATCAGTGAGATAGAAGTCCGTTGCCATTGCTCACTGCCATGCTGAGCCAGTGATGCTCTCGAAACAGGAATCACCTAGATCGCTAGCTCCATCTGCTGGACCGTGGGTCGGCCATAGCCAAAGAAGCAAAACAACGTGTATTCAAATAGATTGGGTTTGTCTGTCTTGTTTTACTTCTTAAAATAGAAAGGTGCGTGTGAGAACTAATCCAATAACTGTTCTTGGCGGCTTTGGTGTTTAGGAAAAAGTTTCCATCCCAAAACCTGAAACATGCTTCAACATACGTAAATTTAACTAACACCAAAACAAGATTATCAGAGAGAGTCTGTAAAACTTCTGAAGTAATGACAGGTCGTGGTAACACACACCTGTTATCCCAGTACTCGGGAGGCAGAAGCAGGCGGATCTCCGTGAGTTCGAAGCCAGCCTGATCTACAAAGCAAGTTTCAGGACACTCAGATCTGTTACACACAGGAACCCTGTCTCAAAAAAAAAAAAAAAAAAAAAAAAAAAAAAAAAAAAAAAAGAAAAAACAGAAAAAAGAAAAAGAACAACTGGGTGGCTGGGCTGGGTGTGGTGTAAACCTTTAGCTCCCTGCACTCAGGAAGTAGAGGCAGGAAAATCTTGGAGTTTGGGGCCAGCCTGGTCTACATAGAGTTCCAGGGCTACATAGAGAGATCTTGTCTCCAAAGGGGGGGGGGAGAGAAAAGAGGAAGAAAGACACACAACTTGAGTCAGCTGCAGATGCATGGCTGTGTGCTTGCTAAGTTTCCAGTCGCCTCTCCCTGACCTGCTTTCTCCCAGCCGGGCAGCCACAGCCCCAGCCTCTCCTGGCTTTCCTCCCTTCCGTCCATCGCCTTTCTATGCCTCTGCTCTGCAGCCCAAGCCAAGCCTGTGACCAGCTGCAGTCCCAGAAATTGTTTAGACACCCACCCTGCTGCCCTGATCCTGCCCAGCAGGCTTCCGGAAATGCTACAGGTCTCACTGTCAGGAGTGAAGCGCCAAGACTTGCTCTTTTTTACTCTCTGGCCTGTTTGAGGGGCCCACCACCCAGCTCCCAAGTGAGAGCACACGGAGGCTTTAGTTATGAATGCCGGGCCTAAGCTTGGCTTGTTTAGCCAGCTTTTCTTATCGTAAATTTTTCCCAACTACGTTTTGCCTCTGGGCTTTTTCCTCTGCTTTTCTGTAGACCTGTCTTTACCTCTTCCCCTGTGGCATACTGAGTCGCTGATGTCCTCCGTTTCCTCCTCTCTCCTCCCTGCCTGCCAGCCCCGCCTACCTTTGCTCCTGCCTCGCTATTGGCCGTCCAGCTCTTTATTAGGACCATCGGGTGTTTTTAGACAAAGAATCCCAGCTTCACAGAGCTAAACAAATGCGGCATAGACAGAAGTCACACACCAGAAAACAAGATTCTACCACAGAGGAGGCTGCCTGCTGTATCCTGGAGGACCCCACCTTCAACCATCTTAACCCTCTGCTCAAATCGCTCCCGGACTCTGGGGAGCCCCTCATATCCATAAGCGCATGCCGGCCTGCTGCAAACCCGGCCCTTTGGCTCCCCTCACCCATGGATGTCCCCACGTCACGTGTCTTTCGTGCGTGACTGTGGGATCTAGCTTATCAGTTGCCTGCAATAGGAGGGTGCTGTTTACCCCACATTTCCCACTAGTCGCAGCTAATCTGATACGGTTTCTTCTGGAGTTACAGACAGTTGTGAGCGCCGTGCGCGGGTGCCAGGAATCAAACCCGGGTCCTCTGCAAGCAACGGTGCTGGTAGCTGCTGAGCCACCTCTAGCCCCCCTGGCTCAGTCGCTTCCAGTGGGTTACTTGTGCGGTGATCTCCGCAGTTTGACCTCCCCCTTCACTGATGCCTTTGCTACCTGGTAAACAGGGCAGACGGTAAAGAGCCAGGAAGGGGGGAGCTGGCTGAACCTGGTCCTTGAGAAGTTGCCGTAGGTAGAATGGGAAGGATAAAACAGCTCTTAACAGCTCCCCACCGGCTTTCATACTGGGAACACCAGCGCGTGGGGGAGAGCTGACATAGGCTAGGAGACAGAGTGACAAGCTGCTCTAGTAAATTCTGACCAGGTCTGAGCAGTTTATCAACAGCCCTATGAAGTCAGCATCTTATTAATGTAATATATTTACCCCAAACTCTTATGTCTGAAATCTTTTCTTTTGTCTCTGTGACATCATTTCTGAAGCTGAAAGCTTTCAGACTTTTGACCATATCCCTAGTAAATTATTTTAATGCACAGCGACCGATACGCAATGCCTATATAAACAAGACGTGTATGCCAGAAAAGCTGTGTAACATCTGTCCTTAGGAGTAATGTTTTGTACTATTTCCTGGTTGATTTGGTCTGTGGTGCTGGGGATCAAAACCCCGTACATGCTTGGCATGCCCATCCTCACCTCGTGTAATTTATCTGAAAAGCTGGTTTGGATGCTGGAGAGATGGCTCAGCAACTAATAGTGCTCTCTGCTATAGCAGAGGACCAAGGTTCGGTCCCCAGACTCTATGTCAAGTGGCTCACAACTACCTACGACTGCAGCCCCAGGCGACCATCCTACACCCTCTGTCCTCCACAGGGACCCGCACACACGTGGTGCACAAAAAAAAACTCACTCAGGTACACACACATACACATAAATTAATAATCACGAATCCAAAAAGCTGGTGTGAGCCAACCAAATTGATATGAGAACATCTAAATGAACTGGTAGCCGTCATGCCCCTTGCTGTCTGAAAAGGTACTTACTGAGCGCTTGCGGTGTGTGCTAAGCACACGGTATGACTGAGTAGTTCTATGCTGTGTCCTGTACTGCAAACCAGAGCGCATGCTCGGATCTTTTGTGGCCTGAAAGATCCCTTCTGGTACAAGGCTAATGACAGTAAAATGACGTTGGCTGCCAACGCCGATATGGAAGAAACCATAGACTCTCAGCGCTGGAAAGTTGAAATGTCTTCCAGTCTGGTTCCCCCCATGTGATGCGTCTCAGTCTGTGTCTGGTCCTGCCACTGGTGCGTGTGGCTTCACTCTCAAGCATGCCCTGTCTGGTTTCTTTGGCTAGCTGAGTCTTTGCTACCTGGAGCGGAAACTTGCCTCCGTGTAACTCCGTGTGCACCTCTGAGGCTCCCCAAGCACACTCTCACACGCCGGTTTTGCAGGGTAGAGTTCCCTAGCGGACCCCAGCTACCATTGCAGGCAGGTGCTTGATCCCTTTGCTCACCTTAGTCCTGTCCTCATCCCCTACACAGGCCCTGATGCAGTGCACAGCGTTTGCGACCGCGGATGAGTATCACCTCGGGAGCTTGTCTCAAGAGCTGGTCTCCTGTGGCTATGTGGAAGTGACAAGCCTGCCTCGAGGTACCGCCGCCCTAACCCAGGGCCCAGTATGCTGGGGTGTCAGATTCAAGGGCGCGTGTGTTCCCATTCCATGTCCCATTGGATCACTGTCATTTGAGAAGATGGGCGCATGCGTGTGTTAGCTTCTCGTCCTAGTAGTAAATGACTGTGGTGAATTTAAAGCTAAACCAGAACGGCTGATGTTAGCTCCCGTTCTGAGGAGCCCGTTGATTGGGGGGGGGGGGTGTCTTGGTTGAGGCCGGATGTGTGTCCTGGTGAAGTGTGGCAGGGGAAGCCGCCCCACACTGTGATGAGCATCCTTTTCAGGGGGCACGCCCAGTGACCCGCCCTCCTTCCAGCAGGCCTCCCTTCTAAAAGCTGCAGCACCTCCTACGGTGACCTGGGCCAATCCTTTAACACTCCGCCAAACCACCACCTGCCGTGGCTCATTCAACAGCTGTCTTAGCCAGCAGGGGCGGGGCAGGCAGATCCCTGAGTTCGAGGCCAGCCTGGTCTACAGAGTGAGTTCCAGGATCACTAGAACTACATAGAGAAACCCAGTTTGGGGGAGGGGGGTGAAGAAAAAGAACAAAGCTCTGTCCAGGACACCTGCCAAAATCCTACCAGGAAGGAACCGTGCAGCTCTGAGAACAGCGACGTTAGAGGGAACTTGTTTGTCTAATGTCAACGCTTGAGAGGCCGAGGAAAACCAAGTGGGAAGCCATGCTGGGTTATGGCTAGACATGGTCTCAAACACACAAAAATTAGAAAAGAAGGAACTGTACATAACTACAAACTAGTAACAGTGTCGTAGAATTTCCTGGGAACATACTATCTTAACTTCCTCTCTTTTTTTAAGACTTTGTTTTTCTAAAGCAAGTGTCTGTTATTTGTATGGGTGTTTTGCTTGTATGGGTATCTGTGCATCGTGTGCGTGCCTGGTACCTACAGAGTCCGGAGAGGGTGTTGGATGCCCTGAAACAGGCTACAGATGGTTGTGAGCCACTGCGTAGGTGCTCAGAATTGAACCCAGGACCTCTGGAAGAACAGCTATACACTAAACCTCTGAGCCACCTCGCCACCCTCTAAGAGTCATTTTTACCTGTATTATGTGTCTCTGTGTGCATACGCATGTACATGCCAGAAGAAGGCATGTGGTCACTTAGAGCTGGAGTTACAGGTGGTTATGGGGTTTTGGGGACAGAACTCGGGTCCTCTGCAAGAAGAGCAAACATGCTTGGCCACCGAGTAGTCTCTCCAGCCCCTATTTTGGTTTTGTTGGGTTTGCGGGGTTTTATTTTGTTTTTTAAGACAGGGTTTCTCTGTGTAGCTCTGTAAACCTGTCTGGCCTCAAACTCAGAGTTCCGCCTGCCTCTGCCTTCTCGGGCTGGGAGCAAGAGCGTATGCCACTGCCCATTTGCAACTCTTAAAACCCGTCTTCAGTCGGAAGTTGATTGTGCTGTGGAGCATTCTGGGTCATGAAGTGATCTAAGAACAGATTAAAACGTGATGGTTCTCAGCCGTCTATGTCACCTCTCCACACAGCCTTGACTGCCCTTTTAAATCCCAGATGCAGCCAATATTTTGGTGATGGGTGTGGAGAATGCCGCAAAAGAAGGCGACCCCGGGACAATATTCTTGTTCAGGTAAGGCAGGATGGCCTGGCTTTGGGAAGATGGCTGCACCCAGATGACTGGAGCCTCTAGGGTGGGTGCGCCTGTCCTGGGATCTTCCTGTGCATTTGGGGTTTGACTCTGCCATCCGACTCTCGACTTCATCTTGGAGAGTTTGTCAGGGTTATGAATCTCCTGGCAGGTCATCCTTTTCTAAATATGTGCTCATCTTATTTTGCGTGTATGCGTTTTTTTGCCTACACAAATACCATATGCATGCCTGCTCGAGGAAGCTAAAAGAGTATTAGATCCCCTGGTACGGGAGTTACAGATGGTTGCAAATTCATATATGGGTGCTGGGATGGAACGTCAGTCCTCTGGAAGAGCAATACGTTCTCTTAACCACTGAACTCTCTCTCTCCAGCCCCTGGTAGATCAACTTATAAAATAAAAAAAAAAAAAAAAAAAAAATCTTTTAAAGACAGGGTTTCTCTGTGTATCTCTGGCTGTTCAGGAACTCACTCTGGTACTGAACTCACGGAGATCCTCCTGCCTCTGCTTCCCAAGTGCTGGGATTAAGGGTGTGAGCCACCACCACCCAGCTAAAATGAAAATGTTTGATACAAGTAAATCATCGTTGCCTGATGTGTCTTTCGCTGGCGGTGGAAATAGGGTCAAGCAGCCATGTCACTGTCCTTATGAGACTTCACACGTGCTGTCCTTCCCTTACCTTCTGTAGCCTTTCAACTGAGATTTTAGCCTGCCTTGACGATACCGAAGAGAGAGAACCTCGTCACCCAGTCTTGCCCTTTTAAGGATTAGACTGGGCGGCAGCAGTAGCAGCTGTGTGGAATAGCCCGCTGTTCCATTTTACAGCCCCAGAAGGGTCAGGTGCATTTGGGGAATAACCTGTAGTCTGGGGACAAGTAAGTGGCAGAACAGAGAGATGGACATCCAAAAGAGTGTAAGCTAAGTCCCATCATCCCAGCAGCCTAGAGGCTAAGGCAGGAGGATCACTGTGTCTTTGAGGCTAACCTGGGCTAATAATAAAAAGGCTAAACTGTCATACATGGTGGCTCATCTCATGTCTGTAGTTCCAGATACTGGAGCAAGCCAGTCTTACGCATCAAGCAACTACTTCCTTCATTCTCTGTGTCCTAGAACAGTGGGTCTCAACATGTGGGTCTTGGTCCCCTTGGGTCAACCTTTCACATTGGTCACCTCAGTCAGTCAGAAAACACAGATACTTACGTTGTGATTCATAACCGTAGTGCAATTAGTTATGAAGTAGAAGTGAACGGGGTCATCATAACATGAGGAACTATACTAAAGAGTCGAAGCATTAGGAAGGTTGAGGACCACTGTTCTAGAGGCTGCCTAAATGTGGCTTTTGGTGTCTCTGGAGAAATGTTTTCTCGGGGGCCAGAGAAATGGCTCAGCGGTTAAAATCACTTGCTGTCCTTGCAGAGGACCCGGGTTCAATTCTCAGCACATCCGCTCAAAACCGTCTGGAACTCCAGTTCCAAGGGATCAGGTGACCTCTGTGGGGGCACCAGGCACTCCACACAGTGTACACATCCGTGGGGGCAAAATAAAACATAAATCTCAAAAGGACGTGTTCTCCCTTTGCCGAGGTTGACTCTCCCATTCCTTGAATCAGGGAAGGAGCGACTGTGTTCTGGAACGTAAAAGACAAAACTGTAAGTACAATGAAGCAGAAGTCGGGTTTTCTGAGGATATTGTCACTGTACTCAGCAGTCTGAAGCCTGGAGGGACCCGGCCCTAATCCACGGCTGCTTTTCCGTGGGTCACACAGTATTTATCTGTCCCTTTCATCTTCCAAAATGTGATGATTTTCCGTGATTCTTGCATTTTCTACGCCCGATACAGTTGAATTAAAACGATAGCTTATAAGCACAATCAGTATGCTGTGGGTGCTTGGTCAAGTACACTGTAAGCCATGTACGTGCCTGTCATCCCAGAACTCACCAGGAGGTGGGGGTAGGTGAGGGAGAGCCAGGAAACCTGACACCAAAAAGGAAAGAGAAAAGAAAACTCTGGCATCAGTGGCCCATGCTTGGGAAGTGAAGGCTGGCCAAAGGGTGGGCAGGGCAAGGCCCATCTCTTAGCTACGTGAAAGAAACTGTCTTAAAAAAAATAAAGGGTGGGTGTTGGTGGCACACTCCTGTAATCCCAGCACTCGGGAGGCAGAGGCAGGAGGATCTCTGTGAGTCTGAGGCCTTGCTTTTATGAGCACGCATGAATATTCGGATCCTAAAAGGACAAGCTATTTTGGAGAGCAGTTTGGAACACTTAGCAGACTTGTAGGCATGGGTGTCTGTCTCTCCTTCCCCTTATTCCCATCTTTGCAGGGCGGGGGCAATAGTCAGGCTTCCAGCAAGCCAAGCCTCTGCCATAGAGCCGCAGCTCTTAGCAGTTCTTCAAGAAATACCTCACGGCTGGAAGAGATGATGTAGCTTTTTTTTTAAAAAAATGTATCTTATGTGCGTGAGTGTTTTGCCTGCGTGTGTGTGTGTGTGTGTGTGTGTGCACGCACACACACACACATACCATGTAAGTGCTGGGTGTCTGGGCGAGTCAGAAGAGAGCATCAGATCCCCTGGAACTGGATTAGCAGGCCGTTGTGAGCCACCATGTGGGTGCTGAGAACTGAGTCCACATCCTCTGCAACAAATGCCCTTAACTGCTAAGCCACCTCTCCAGCCCCTGCTGCTTTAATTTTTACATGTCATTTGCCTGTCCAAGCTTTTTTTTTGGGGGGCGGGGACTTAGCAAATACCAACTATAATGTTAGTAGTGATTTTCTTTGGATGCTGGATAACGGTAATTTTTACTTTCTTTTTTTTATATTCATCTGTACTTTCCAAACGTCAACATAAAGGAACATGCCATTTGCTTAGTTTACTGCCACAGTGAGCTTGCCTTTTCCTCAGACACTAAGACTCAGAAAACTTGCCGCTACAGTGGCGAAAGCCGCCATGAGCAGATGAACAAACCCATGTGGTGCGTAGAGAATCGATGTGACTGTCGTTTCCCAGGTGAAGCACGTGATGCAAGTTCTGGAGAGACACGAAACCCAGCCCTACGAAGTGGCTCTGGTTTACTGGGAGAACGAAGAGCTGAACTACATGAAAACAGAGTAAGCCCATCTCAGCCCATTGGCGAAGAGGGCGGGGAAGCTTGGAGGAGGGGATCGCTCTGAGTGTATGGAGATTCTTAAGCTACTCACTGGGCCCAGTCCGCGCCCACACCAAAGAACGGGACCTGTATTTAAATTCTCCTGTTCTCAACCTAAATTAATGCGGGCAGGATAAATGCAGCAGAATTTTTTTTGCAGGAAGGGTTTAAGTTCTAGGCAAATGCATGCTTTTTGTTTGTTTGTTTGCTTGCTTGCTTTTCAATTGAGTTTGACTAAGGCAGAAGTGCACTGAGTGACCCAGGAGAGGTGTGCGCCCCTGGCAGGCGTCCTCAGGTGAGGAATTGTGCAGGCAGGCTACAGCCCAGCCCATTTTCTCACTGTGGTTTCAGACCCTCCCCAGCTCCTCCATGCTGTGACTACAGGCTCAGGCCTAGCCCTTTTGTTCTGTGGAATGACAAATCTAGTATATCTTTCTATTGAGTCTTTTTGTTTTAAAACTGATGTTTTACTAGTGTGAACATTTGACAGTAAAAAAAATGTACTGTGGGGCTGGAGACTCAGTGGTTCAGACCACTGGCTGCTCTTCCAGAGGACCTGGGTTCAATTCCCAGCACCCATGTGGTGGGCCAGCAGTTTGTTGACTAGCTATGGTAGCTCGGTCCTATAATTCCAGCGCTTAGGAGCTGAGGCAGGAGCATTGCTATGAGTTTGAGCTATCCTAGGCTACAGTGACACCGTATCTCCAAAATACAGTGAAAAATGTTCATGGCACCCCAGTTTCCCTGGTTATTTTTGTAGGTTAATTCCTAAGGATGGATTACTTGGATCAAAGGGTAGGAGGACATTTAAAATAACATGTCATCAGTTGTCCAGTGGCTTCTAAAGAAACAGTCAAGATTTTCAGAAGCGCAGCTGCTTTTAAGATTCAAACCATGCGTTGGTGGCGCACACCTTGAATCTCAGCACTTGGGAGGCAGAGGCAGGCAGATCTCTGTGAGTTCGAGGCCAGCCTGGTCTACAGTTCGAGTTCCAAGACAGGCTCCAAAGCTGCACAGAGAAACCCTGTCTCAAAAAAGAAAACAAAGATTCAAAGGACACCTTCCTGTCGTCTTCTTTCACAGGGGACAGTCTAAACTGCACAGAGGGGAAATCAAGTTAAACTCAGAGCTGGACTTAGATGACTCCATTCTAGAAAAATTTGCTTTCTCCAACGCTCTCTGCCTCTCGGGTAAGTTATGCTGCAGATGGCGTATCACACGTCTGCATTAAACACTGGACAATGAAAGCTAGGTGGTGGCGCACGCCTTGAATCCCAGCACGGGGCAGAGGCAGACAGACCTGAGTCTGTCTGCAGAGTGAGTTCCAGGACAGCCAGAGTTACACAGTGGAGAAACCAAGAGGGAGGGGGAAGTCTGGAAATGATGTCATAGTGTTTTCGCAACACTCAGTACAGCCTTCTCTTTGAAAGAAAACGTATAGCACATCCCGTGCGCTGGTGGCCCATCCCTTGTTAATTGTGTTGATAAAGCGTCATTTCCCCCGAAATGTGTCTCATATTTCTGGCACTGCCTTTGTTTTCTCTTCTCCCTGACTGGTTCACTCGGTAGCCTTTAATCCAGAGATTGCCCAGCCATGTGTGGCTGGGGAACAAGTCAGCGCTGAGCTGAGATCACGGCCCCTGAGAAACCGTAGGCCCTCCCTAAGGGTTTCCATATCTCATTCTGTATCAGCCTGCAGGCCCCGTGGGAAGCCTCTGGGCTTACTGTGCTTTGCTCACGGCCCTGAGGAGTATAGGAAAGGCCATGGAAGCCACACCCCTGCCTCATCTGCAGCACCACCCATAGGGGCTAGGTGTGACCCGCACCTCTGCATAGGAGATACACACCTGTGTTCTGCCAGGAGTCTCTGGAGGCTCACGTCCGCTCCCCTCCCTTCCTTTACGGCTGTCTTTTAGCTTCTTTTGTTTTGAAGTTTTAGTGCCTTTGCTTTTTCTGTTGTTTTGCATTGAAATTATTGAAAATTCCATTCTTGGACCAGACTGGCACGCACGCGCCTTTAATCTGAGCACTCAGATATATCTCTGTGAGTTCAAGGTCAGCCTGGTCTATTTAGCATGATCTAAGCTAGCTGGGGTTACGTAGGGAGACCCTGTCTCAAAAATAATTGAGGGGCTGGAGAGATGGCTCATCAGGAGCACTGGCTGCTCTTCCAGAGATCCTGAGTTCAATTCCCAGCAACCATCATGGTGGCTCAACCATTGATAATGAAACCTGATGCCATCTTCTGGCCTTCAGGTATTCATACAGCCATGTATACATAATAAATAAATCTTTAAAAACATTAATTGAGCCCAGTGGTGTGGCACATGCTTCTAATTCCTGAACAGGGAAGGCAGAGGCATGCAAATCTCTGAGTTCAAGGACTGCCTGGTCTACAGAGCAAGTTCAAGGACAGCCAGGGCTACCCAGGGAAACTATCTCAAAAAACAAAACAAAACTAAGTAAATAAAATAATTAGTTGAATAAATAAAATGTCATGTAAAATTCCCTTCTCATGTCTGAGTCATACTTAGAAAGTGAAAACATCATTTTTTTATAGCCCAAGTCAGACTAACTCCTTAGGGCTAGGGTTACAGGTGTGCACCACCATGCCCGGCTGTACATTTGCTTCTTAGACAGTTACTGAAGTGGCAACAAACGCTCCGTGCCAGCAGGCATTCTCTGTAGATGTGACCATGATGGTAAAGCCAAGCCCCTCTTCCTTCTTTTCCCAGTGAAACTGGCTATTTGGGAAGCAGCACTGGACAAGTTCATTGAGTCTATTCAGTCAATTCCAGAGGTAATTATATCCACTCCATGCTTTTTTGTCAAGAATTGGCCTCTTGGGGAAAGTCCTAATTGCTCAACATACATGCACATTTGAGTATAAAGTAATGGTACCTAGAAAAGCTGCAGAAAGTATCGTAAAAACACTTTCAGTTACTCGTAAAATGATGCAGTCAGGATAAGGAACTCCATGTTGGTTTTTGACTTGAAGACTGCAGATGACTTTGCTCTGATTGGACAGCGCTTTCGGTGACACTCCACGAAGGGAAAACAGTGGGGTATGTAGCCCCGTGGTAATGCAATTGCCCAGCTTTTACTATAATAGAACAATACGATTAATTGTTCTTGGGAAAGAGGCCCCACTTCTCAGTTAGGAGATAAGGAACAGGTCGGGCTACAGAGAGGGATATGAGGTTATAAGAACACTGGCTGCTCTTGCAGATGACCTGGGTTTGGTTCCCAGCACCCACGTGATGGCTCACAGCTGCTTATAACTCCGGTTCCAGGAGACCCAATGCCCACTTGCGATGCATACATGCCAGCAAGCTCTTACACATAAAATAAAAACAAATCTCTTTAAAACAAGAGACAAGGAATGTTCATCGCCCAGCAGACTAAAAAGGACACATTAACTGTCTCTTACGGCAAACGCACGTCCGGGACAACCAGCATTTTAGTAGGGAAGGGTTATTTTGGATCTCAGGTTGTAGCAGGGCAGGTGCAATGCTTTAGGCCTTGGTGAGGCAGTGCCTGATGCCAAGAAGCATCCGGTGGGGCAAGCTGCTCCCCTCACTAGGAAGCGGCGAGAGGGGAGAAGGACCAAGGGCCCAGCAGCCCCTTCCAGGCCGTGTAACCAGTGGCCTAACCGCTTCCCACCAGGCTCCCCCTCTAAAGACTTTAAACAATTTCCAGTAACACACCGAGGATGAAGCCTTGACAGACAGTTCCTGGGACACCGTTCAGGAACTGGACTATAGCAGAAGGGGTGAAAAGCCTCAGTGTAAAATGCCGAACTCTTGATATGAGTTAGCACATTTCATTGGGCAACAGTTAGATATCTAAGTTGTTCATATAAAACCAAGTGTCCCTTGAGAACATGCTACATAGACCCAACACTGATTAGAAAGACGTATGTGCGATGCCCCCTCCCCCCGTGTCTGATGGATTGACTGTTCCCAGGAGTACCACCCCCCCCCACACACCCAGGGTACCAAAATTTATGCATGGTCATCTTGACCAAAATGTGGATGTTTGCTGTGATGTATGTAGAGTAACAAAGAAAAAGAGTATACCTGCTCGTTAGAGGTGCAGCTTTTAGTTCTTTCTGAGTGGGGTTCATTGGAGCCACAAATGCACTCCCAACAGACACAGACCCATGTGTATGTTTTTTTTTTGTTTGTTTATTTTTGTTTTCCCTCCAAATAGGCATTAAAAGCTGGGAAGAAAGTCAAGCTGTCTCATAAAGAAGTTATGCAGAAAATGGGTGAGCTCTTTGCTCTCAGGTACAATGTCCTCCTGTAAATGAAGGCGCTCCTTTAAGAGAAAACATCTAGATATAAGCAGGAAAAACTCTTCCCCCATTGGAAGCAGGGAGGCTGAATCAGGACTGTCAGGAACCCTGATGGATACAGAAGAGAAAAACTCATACATTGAAATGGCACACGTCACAAGAGCCCCAGGAAAATAGGGTACTGCATACAACATGAGCATGCTGTTTTGCACTTACTTACTAAATGCCATTGTCACGGGAAGTTTCACTCTAGTTTACCGTGTCTGACCCCGTACGATGGTGCAGGTGAGGAAGAACCTGTCTCCTAACGGGTGCCTTCCTGTCTTTATGGAGTAATGCCTCCTGGTTGCAGTAGTCTTCCTGGGCATGCCATCCAGTTTCCTCCTTTGCACGTGGGATGAGCATCCAAAGCTCCTTATAGATGGTTTCCTCGGAAGTGTCTTCCCGGCCACTTAGACCAGCCCGCAGAAGAGTGGTCCAGGGTTTCAATGCCTGTGTCTCTCACACTGCAGGGATGCTCTGTTGGGATCATTCATTATGAGCATCCCACAGTAGAGTCACACAGACCTTGTGCTCTCTGACAAGTAGGGGAGATTGTTTCCCCCTATTCTCTAGCTATTACAAGCAGAATCTGATAAACAAACTGTAATGCCCAAACTCAAAAGCTAGGACTAAGTAAATTTAATTTGAGAATAGTTTCTACAAAGCCTGACTTTCCTTACCCCGTTTTAGTCTTTGCAACGAAAAGTGTTTCTGTTACTACAAAGAAAGTAATGAGCCAGCAGGGGGACTCATTGGTGATTTGCTTGATGCCAGCTTGGCAACCTGAGCTTGATCCTAGAAACCCAAGTAAAAGTTTGCAAAGACAGGCAATGCACAAAGCTGTCCTCTGACCTCTATATGCTTTCCATCACATGAACACACACACACACACACACACACACACACACACACCTACCCCATAAACAAATACATCAGTAATTTGTTAAAAAAAAAAAAAAAGTGACGACAGGCAGTGATGTTGTGCCCCTTGAATCCCAGCAGTCAGATAGATCTCTGTGAGTTTGAGGCCAGCCTGTTCTACAGAGTGAAATCCAGGACAGGTTCCAAAGCCAGGCAAAGAAAACCTGTCTCAACCAGAAAACAACTGAGAATCTTGTTGCTCTCCCAGAGGACCAGAGTCGGGTTCCCAGCACCACATCAGAGTGCACACCCACTTGGGCCCCTCACCCCCTCACCCTAGGAGACCTCTCACCCTCTTCCGGCCTCCAAGGACATCCTCGTACACATGCAGATACACATGCACATAAATAATAAAACTTTAAAAAAAAAAAAAAAGATGTAGTGATCTGTGAAAAGAGTTGTAGTAAGTATGTTAGGTAAAAAGCTGTCTTGGGCTGCAGCTGTGGCTCAGTTAGTGTCTGCCAGGCTTGCACAAGGGCCTGGCTTTGACTCCCAGCACTGCAGGAAAAGCTGATAGTCAAGGACTTTGAGGCCAGGGCAGACTAACATGAGACCTTGTCTTTATTTCATTTTATTAATTTTGTTTTCCAAGACAGGGTTTCTCTGGGTAACCATGGCTATCCTGGAGCTTGTTCTGTAGACCAGGCTAGCCTCGAATTCAGACCCGCTAGTCTCTGCCTCCCAAGTGCTGGGATTAAAGGTGTGCACCATTACACCTGGCCTTTCATTCCATTGCCAGGCTGGTGTACACAGTGAGTTCCAGGTCAGGCAAGGGAACCAGGCTGGTGTACACAGTGAGTTCCAGGTCAGGCAAGGGAACAGTGAGATCTGGTCTCAAAATACAAAAACAAAGCAAAAAAAAAACAAGTTGCAAAATTATGTGTGTGGTATTATTCCATTTGCATAGCAAAAATATTTCTCTTGATATGTGCACGCATGCAAGTCTGTTTACGAAGAAATGTACCTATCAAAGTCTGCACAGGCCTGTCCTGTTTTCAGACAGTAAAGCGTTTTGCGTTTGGTAGGCTAAACAAGCTGACCAGTGTTTCTGCTTTCTTCTCCAGCATGTATCTTAAAGAATGAGCAGCTCCTTATGTTTTACTATGCAACATGAATTCCCTTTAAAGAGTGCCATTGAATTAAAGGGTGGCAGCACACCCCCTTAATATCCTTAGTTTACTAGAGCCTAAGGCTTACCCACAGCCAAGCTAGCCTGAGCTACATAGTCAGTTCCTGGCCAGGCTAGCCTACATAGTAGCCCTGTTGAAAAGAAAGAGACCCTGCATATGGCTGCCTGCCTTGTGTTTGCTCAATGACTAAAGGATAGAGAGGGATCCTGAAGGTGGCCAGTGAGCCAGAGTGAGAGGAAGGAGGAAACCACAAGTAACAAGTCAAGTGAGGTTTACCCATCCTTACCTTTTTATTTCTTCCTGGTTTTCCTTTAGAGGGTGCGCAGGGGTGTGTGTGTGTGTGTGTGTGTGTGTGTGTGTGTGTGTGTGTGTGCGCGCGTATTGCGGTAAATAAGGGTCAGGATAAACAAATAGGCCGAATAGATGTTTATTCAGTGAGAAATAACTTACAACCTAGACAGATGAACACCAGGAAATTCAACCCGATCCTCTCCTGTCCGAGTCACGCCAGAAAGAGAGCGCCTTCCTGGCCCCCTCCGACCTCCTTCCTCAGGTCACCTCCGCCCATCGCTCCACCCCCCAATGGGCGTGGTCAGTGCTACAGAAGGACTACCTCACTACAATTCCCCTTTTAGTCTAAAGAAAAGATTTAGGCTTAATACAAAACTATATACAAAACAGTGAATAACAAGTGTGCTCTAAGAAAAGGAAAATCGAGAACAAAATGACCTACATATCTAGTCCTAGGGTGAGGGCATAATGGAGTTTACAATAGAGTTGTCCTAAGCTGGAAAACGTAAGTCTAGTACCTAATATATCTAACTAGGAAGAGAGAATAATAGTTGTGATAGTTTAATCTTCAACCTCATCAAGACCTGAGAAGGAAAATAACAATACTAGAGTAGACAGGAAATGCGGATGGACAACTCCCAAAACGGTGCAGCAAGGACAGAAACAGCAAGCCACCTGAACAGTCACCCTAGGTCTCACAGCGACGTTGGTACACCCAGATTTGGCTAAGGCCAAGAGAACTTGACAGACCACAACAACAGCAGGGAAATAGAATGGCTGTCTTACCCTGACTTGGCAAGGTCAAGCAGTCTTCTATATTTGTCTCCTGCAAGCACATAGGACTGCATGTCCAAATCAGTGGTCAAGGTGGGGGCAATTTTATGCCCAACAGGCCATTAGCTGAGGCGAGATTGAACTCCAGCAGGAGCAACAACAGTGTCCAACATATTTTCGGGAAAATGCACGGTGCTGTCAGGAGCAACAGTGTCTCATGTCAAAGGAGTACTAATATTAAAACATTTAAATGCCATGTTCTGCATGTCTATGAAGGATTGAAGATTAAGCATCTATATCTGACTAATCTCATAGGTACAGGAAATGTGAGTGAAGATAATCTATAATACTCGGGAACTTAGCTAAAAAGACTGATTAAAACTTTCCTGAGTAAAGCAGGAACAAATACTTAAACAATATAACTATTTACATATACCTACATGTAAATCCCTAAAATAGAGGTAGAGTATAAGTGTCAAGACAAGAGGTAGAACTATAAAGGGCAGCAAGATAAATATCCCAAATTGTATCAATATACAAAATGTCTTGAACACAAGAAAAGTATACATACATAGAATATGGTAAAAAATAATGTGCATAAATATTATAAGTGGAAACATTTAACACAATATAACAAAATATAAACTTAATTTTACATAGCTTACCACATAGGAATGCATAACAATGTAAGCTGTAAAATACTATCTCATTCAAACTCAAATTCTCAAGGAAATAGGCTAATCTACTTATATCCCATCTAAACCATACCTTTACCCACCATTCCCTATTCCTGTCTAAAAGATAAACCCGAGTGTAAGCATCACCCAATCCCAAATAACTAAAACCAACCCAAAGACGATGACTATTATCCCGCGCACTTCTCAAATATTTTTTCAAATAGCATCACTTAAAACTGCTCTCATATTGTACCATGAAAATACAGAATATAGTAGAAACTGGCTTTTAACTTACCGTTTACCGTAAATAAGAAAGGTAAACTGCACTTTCTTATTTAAGGCATCGTATAAACCTGAGTTCAGATTTCTTGATGACTCCCGACTTCTACTGGGACAGAGCAAACCTGGAGGAGCTTTATGATAAGACCTGCCAATTTCTCAGCATCGCTCGCAGAGTTAAGGTATGTGTTTTAAAGAGAGAGAGAGAGAAAAAAAAAAGACATACAAGATGGGCATGGCACAGGTCTTTAATCCCAGCACTCAGGAGGCAGAGGCAGGTGGATCTCTGAGTTCAAGGCCATCCTGGTCTACAGAGTGAGTTCCAAGACAGCCAGGGCTACACAGAGAAACTGTCTGGAAAAACTGGAGGGAGCAGAAACAGATAGGATAGAGAGAGTCCCTGCTACAGTTTTATTACTGACATTTTCAACTAAGTATGTAAAATTGCATTGGGAGAAGTACTATTTGACTTTTGGTCATGTCTCCTTAGATTCCCACTATCTATCTCCTCCTCTCTTCTTTGCAGCCAGTTTAGTCTTTTTCTTAGGAGACTGAGGCAAGAGGATTGCTTTTGAACTCAAAACCAGTCTAGACTATAGAGATACTGTTTCAGTCCGGACCACCTGAAGATACAAAGTATACAGAATTGTTACAAAAGGTGTTTTTAGATACAAAGTATCACACTATAGGCCAGGCTGTCCTGAAACGCAGCCATCCTCTGCCTTAGCCCTAGTCCTGAGATTACAAACGTGAACCAGCACATACTGGGCTCCACTCCTTGGCTTTCTATGTCAAAGGCTCAGTTTTAAGAGTTCCAGGTTGTCTTGTTCCTTGTTCTTTTGTTTGTTTGCTTGTTTGGTTTTTCAAGACAAGGTTTCTTTGTATTGTGTTGGAGCCAGTCCTGGAACTCACTCTGCAGACCAGGCTGGCCTCAAACTCACAGAGATCTGCCTGCCTCTGCCTCCGGAGTGCTGGAATTAAAGGCTTGCACCACCAACGCCTGGCTGTTTTCCTTGTTCTTGAGCTGGAAATCTCACTGTGTTGTCCAGGCTGGCCTTGAACTTGAGAATCCTTCTGCCTCAGCCTTCCTAGTAGCTAAACAAGTTTTTCATTGCCGTGTTACATGTGATGTGCATGATACATGCTGGTATTCATGTGTGTATTCACATGTAGATGTGCACGTGTTTGTAGAGGCTAGAGGGTGACTTCAGTCTTCTTCTATGGCTGTCTATGTCTATAAAAATCTATTTATTTGTGTGCATCTATGGGTGTGTGTATATTCAAGGGATATATAGAAGCCTTGATCTAAGCCGCCCCGCGTGGTTGCCGGGAACCAAACTCTGAATTGGGGTCTTCTGGAAGAACAGCCAGTCCTCCTCACTGTTAAACCGGCTCTCCTCCCCTGCACGGTACTCTTCACACTCACTGTCCCTGGAGGTCACTGGCTCATTAAGGCTGGCTGGCCCGCAAAAGCCTCAGGGATCCTCCTGTTCCCTCCTCCCCGGCTCTGCGATTACAGACATTTGCTTCCGTGCTCGTTTTATTTTTCAGTTACATTTTCTTATCTGTGTGCGCATATATGCCAGTGCGCATGTGCATTAGGAAACTTTCTCTCTCTCTCTCTCTCTCTACACTTCGGTGTTTGAACTCAGGTTGGCAGGGTTAGTGGCGAGTGCCCTTACCTGCCGAACCGTCCTCTAGGCCCTACGCTCAGATTTTCATGTTGGTGCTAGTGATCAGAAATCAGTTCCTTCATGCTTGCAGTACAGGCATCTTATCAGCTGAGACGACATCTCCCTCGCCACCACCTACTGACTTCTGCCGAGGGTTAGAGTCTGTTTCAAATGGCCAATGCTGATTTTACGTTTATTCTGGGGGAGGGGGCGGCTGCTGGGTGGGTGGGGTGCTGCCATACGCTTGAGGAAGCCAGAGGGAACTATCAGGACTCAGTTCTTTCCTTCCACCATGCGGTTCTAGGGATTGAACTTAGGTTGTCAGGCCTAGCAGCAAGCCCCTCTACCCACTGAGCCGTCGTACCAGCCTCAAAGTTCCTTTTTTAAATTTTCTCAAACAGCGTCTCAACTTTCCATTTTCTTTTGTTGTTTCCTGATCTACACTCTTTTCACTATTACTTCTAATCACTTCCCAGTCGCCTTATGTCCCATTAAGTAAAATGACATAATTTCAAAAACCCTCCCCAAAACAATAAATGCCCTACAGTTCTAGACTATATCCTTTTCTCCAACCCAGACACTTGTCTTTTGCATAATAATCCCATCAAAGGTATGTACAATTTGTCACTCATCTTGGTGTTCCTTTGCGGGAAAGTAGGGACACCCTAGCAGGCTCAGAAAGACACTCAATGGTTCTGGAGTTTCGGTAGTTAGGTAACTAGATGTCTGAGACATTTGACGCCCTGGGCTGTCTGGACAGACAGACAGGAGAAGTATGACTTTCCTGGTGGCTGGCTAGTGCACAGGCTGAAGATGGGATGTGAGGGGATGCTAAGGCTCTATGCAAATGAGGCCTCTCCAGTCCCAGATTTGGCTAAATGCTGCTATGCAGTGTTTCCCCCAAAACTAGCAGCTTACACAGCTCTTTCTCCTAGTTTAACGGGTCAGGGCCTCTCTGGAGGCTGCAGGCATCGCTGAGGACTGCTGGGAAGGATCCACTTCCTGTCTAGATTCGGTCCCTTGAGGCTATTGGACTAGTCTCAGGTCCTTGTCACAGGAGCATCTGTACAAAGCATCTGCTAACTATCACATGCATGGTCAGAGTCTTAGAGTGAGCAAGACAGGAGGCGGTACCTTACCACCTAATTACAGTCCCAGGCAACTCGTGTCTTCTACAGCGCTCTCTCTGTTATATAAAACAAGTCAGAAGGCCCACCATACCCCAAGAGGAGGCAACATTAGTGCACCAGGTCAGGGACATGTAGACAGTACAGCACCCGGTGCCACATATCCATCAGGAACTCCCAGACACCCAAGGGGCACATTCATATGCGTAAAATAAATAAATCTAGAGAATCAGATTCTAGATTAAAGGCAAGTGTCCTACAGGGTGCAGACAAAGCCCTTCAGATGCTGGAGCTCAGTTGGTGAAGGACTTCCTAGTACGGCTGCATGAACCGTCTTCCATCTCCAGCACCGTCTGGAGCGGTGATGCACACCTGTAATCCCAGCCCTTACGGAGACAGGTGGTCCAGAGTTCTAGGCCATAGCGAGCTGGAAGCCAGCCTGGGCTACGTGAGACCCTGTCCCCCCAAAAAAGAGTGCAGCACCGATTCCCGAGACTGGGAGTGTGGCTGGCAGGTAGGGTAACCCTGCAAAGCGATGCCGGTAAGCCGGCCGTGAAAATGTAGGTACATAGGGTCAGAATCCGCTTAGGATGGGTATGATATGTAAATTAATTTGAAAATAAGCCTCATGGTTTTTTTAGGTGAAGCTGCATCATGAGAAAAGTTTTCGATATTCCTTTTTTTTTTTTTTTAATGCCTCTATCTGTGAGCAGACTTTTGAATGTAATCCTTATGGCAAGATATAATTATGACTGCCACCGAGTTGTAGGCTTCTCTCCCTTGTGTTCCCACTTTGAGCTTAATGGAATTGATTAGGAAATAGCCATGGGCTCAGAGCTGCCTGAATCACAAGCAGTTTCCCTAACCTCCACTCTGGTGGCCATTTCCTCCAGCCACATTTCCCTTCACAGGTCTCCCTGGCTGCCTGAGGCCCTCCACACTGACATGCGTAGGCATTGCCTACGCCCAGTTATTCCCCACTATCGTGTAAACTCTGTGACATCTGCTACTATATTTGTAGCATAAGCAGGCGATTCGATTTCAAAAGGAAATGAATTATATTCTCCTGATTTTGAAACTGCTTTGGCCTGTGCCAAGTGCTTGGGTTAATCCAGCTTTGAACTAAGAAAATGGATTTTAATTATCGGGAGACTTAAGACAGACTCTAAATACCTCTGGCTGGCCTGGAACTTGTCCATGATGGCCTTGAACTCAAGAGATCTCCTGCCTTTGCCCCAGGTACTGAGATGTAATGGTATTCACCACCATTCTCTGCAGGAAAGTTCCTTAATATTTCCTTTGTGAGCCTTTTACAATCTGCGTCCAGGTGCCTCGAGTCCAGAAGAGGGTGTCAGAAACCCTACAAGTGGCCTTGTGAGCTGCCTGGCATGAGTGCTGGGAACAGCTGAGGTTGTCCTTTGCAGGAGCAATAAACACTCTTATTGCTGAGCCCTCTCTGGTCCCCAGGACAGGATAACAACGCTCAAATCGTTTTGGGGGATTTTTTTTTTTTTTTTTTTTTTTGTAAGCAATTGTCGGAAGAAAACATAATCTCCGTCTTGTGGTCACAGCTGAAACGGAGGTCTGCCAGCAGTTTGAAGAGAAGTAAGCTTCAAGATGAACACATTAGAAGCCAAGACTAAGCAGTCAGAAGTAGATAGAGTGCCACCCTACCTAGACACTTAATGATTAGAAACTACGAGGGGGGCCTACCAGTCGGGAACTTGTGTGTAGTCCCTCACTAGTAAAGCAGTTGCATGTTCTGTGTAGAACCCTGAGTATGACGCAGACTTCAGCTCATACCGGCCAAACGTGTGCCTGCGATAATGTTCCCCACCTTTACAGCCTTCAGAGAAATGTACAAGTACTCAGTAGTGTGCAAGTGCCTTGTACTGACACCCAGGTTTTAAAATTAGATTCTATTTTGTGTGACACCCATCCACACCCCACTCCAGTTTGGTCAAACGGTCCTAACCTTTGCCAGTTCAGCTAGTAGTGGCTTCTAGTGGTGAGTTCCAGGTTCCATGCACTACTTATTTCAGTAGAAAGGTACCTTTGTACTCAGCACACATGCTCAAACTTGAAGTAGAAGTAAGCGTAGCCCAAGTGCCAAAGTAGTCTCTGCTGTGCTTAATAAAGTCAAACTTCCCTATCAGAGTACTAGGAAACCCTGCATTTTAACCTTCCATCAGAGGTTGGAAAGGGTGCTCAGTGGTTAAGAGCACTCACGGGCTGTTCTTCCAGAGGACCTGGATTCAGTTCCCACTACCCAACATGATAGCTCACAACTCTAACTCCAGTTCCCAGGGCATCCAACAACCCTCACACAGACATACATGCAGAACACTTTTTTTTTTTTTTTTTAAAGTTTAAAACCTTTGTCTTAGGAGATTTAGCATAACAGGGTTTTGTTGTTTTTTCTGCAGTACAAAGGGAGCATGGACTAGAACTAATTTGGTAGTGTTTGCCTATCAAGCATGAAGCCCTCAGTCCCCAGCCCTGCATACAAACAAACATGGTGGTTCGTGGAATACTGGGACCCTGGGAGATTGGAGCAAGACTGCAGGCCACCCTAGGTTACAAAATAAATAATGGGAGCCTGCAGAGATGGCCTGGTGATTGGGTGTTTTCTGGATCAGTACCGGAGTGAAGATGCAAGCGCCGTGTAGCTCCCAAATGCTGAACACACACCTGGTGGGTTCGACCCTTGTGGCCCCCAAAGGCACCTACCTGCACACACATACATTCAGAAACACACAGTAAAAAACAAAATTGCGCCGCCTAGACTGAGTCACTGAACAGTTTGCTAATGGCTAGTTGTCTTTGAAGACTAAGCAGCAAGAAGTGGCTAGACCATGTATGTCTAAGTCTGTATTCTCTTCAAATAAAAATGCATGACTCTTAAGACTTTTCTCACAGGTCATGAATGAAAAACTTCAACACTGCATGGAGTTAACAGACCTAATGCGGAACCACCTGAATGAGAAGAGGGCACTCCGCCTGGAGTGGATGATCGTGATCCTCATTACCATCGAGGTCAGCAGCAGCAGTGTGGCCTCAAAGGCCTGGTTTGTAGATGCACTGAGTGTGCCCCATGCCCTACAGAAAGCATGCTAGTTAATCATGCACAAGCGAACATCAGATTGACTGCCTGTCCTCAGACCCCAGCTTGCCATGTGAGACAGGGACACCCCTCACTGCAGTCTTGGAAAAGTCACTTGAGCTGCTGTGATTGTTAATTCTGTCCACTTGACATGATGTAGAATCACAAGGATTTGTGAACCCCATAAAAACCCTTAGGAAATGAAATTCAGTTGCTTTGCCATGAAATTAGTAACTCCCCCCCCCCCTTTTTTTCCCCTAAGGTGATGTTTGAGCTGGGAAGAATGTTTTTCTGATCTTGTGGTAATGAGAGCATCAATGGAAGAGATTAATTCAAGTTCTACAACCAAAAAAAAAAATAAAAATCAGCATTCACTATTGGTTTAAATCAACCGTCACTGGCATGGGACGGAAGCCTGTAATCCCAGCACTCTGAAAGCTGAAGCCTGAAGATGAGTTCCCAGCTAGCCTTAGCCTGTGCTGCACAGGAAACCCAGCTGAGAGCAGACTGATGGTGTGCACATGGGAGGCAGAGGACTTCCCAGAGTTCGAAGCCAACTGGAACTTAGCAGGACTGCCTCAGAGTAAAACAGTTTAATGACCTTTTGCTGCTCTTAAATACATTGTTGCCTGAATAAAAATTAGGAATGTTGTTTGGGTCAACATACAGAAAGTTCAAAAGTACAATGTTTCATCAGTTTTAGTGGCTGTATTTGTTGATAGGCACACTGGATTTCACTTATCAACAACCCTTTGTGCTCCAACATCGAGAAAGCCAATCACCCAGGACACATTTCTTTATGTGCATGACTCGTGTGCCATTCACACTGCAAACATAAAGTTAAAAAGCAAGTAACCACACACGGTCTTCCAAGGTCACACTTGTCATAGTGCGTGTGCTCATCTGGTATTAGTTTTCACTAAAATGGAATATTCATTTGTTCCTTGGTTAACTGGTACAGTTCTTGCTAATATTGCTATTTGGCTTTCTTTCCAGCATATTGCAAAGTGTAGTAGCGTGTCTCAAGTGAGATCACCTGTACCCAAGGGTACTCCAAGGAGCAGGTAGCCTAGCTGTCACAAGCCTTCCATGACTTCACAGATGGTAGCATCTCTCAGCCACCCTAAGTTTGGTCTGTTTCTTAGACCATGGACAATTAACTTGATGAGTACAGCCTTTTTAACCAAGGCCATTAAGTTTACCTCTGTTAAAAAAATGCATTTTCAAAAAAGTTTACGTCAAATTCCAGTGGATAGCAGGTATCGATTATTTAACAATTTCAATAAGCTAGTAAAACTATGATTCCTGACAGCTGGCAAAATTTAGCATCTATAAATGTTGCAAAAAGAAAAAAGGAACAAAAACAGATTTTCATAAACATTTATTAGGACAAAGTTTTATAGGGAAAATAATATAAAAGCAGAAGCCAAAGAAAGGAATAATGCAGATGTGAATAGTTTTTCTGTATTTCAATCAATCATGATGGACAATTATTTAAGTATTACATTCCATTTCCATTCCCTGTCCCAACATTGCACTTGGCAACCACACAGCACAGTATACCCACCCCAATGGTCAGGCTTCGTCCAGTTGGGCACTATTACACATTCGTAAGCATTTCTCTCAACTTCAGGGTACCATGAACATCCCAGACACCCCACTGGGCAGTGAAGGCTGGAGGGAAACACTAAGCCACCTGCTTTAGGGGTAGGGCCTAAAAGTTGACTGGAAACTTGGAAGAGATTTAAACCTTTTAACTTTGCTTGCATATGTGAGACTTAGAATCTGCTTATATAGTTACCAAAAGTAGACTGAGGTTAGGCTGGCTGCTATTTATCAATGAAGGCACAAACTAAGAAACAGCCAAATTACCACTCCTGCCCCAGGGCTGAACTTGAGCCTAAACCACACGTGACCCAAAATTTTACTTCTAGGCACCACAAGACAATTCTGCTTCTAATGGCTGTTGAAGCTTGTTAGACTCCTCTGATTTTGTGACCCTCGGTCCTGGGTTTTCCTGAGAGTGAAGGCTTCCTAGGAGCAGCCACTTTCTGACCAGAGTGTGCCCATCTAGCAAGAACTGGCCCACCCTTCAATCCTCTAAGGCACTAATGCTGGGTGGAAAGCCATCTTTCAGCTCACAACCCTGCTGCAATGTTAGAGCTACAACTCTGATGCTTCTTCTACCATCACTGGCTATTGTCACCAACAGCCACATTGCCAGAGAAGCACAGAAGCTTCTCAACTTACTATGCTGCTCTAATCCACCCACCCACCCCCAAGGAAAAAAAACTACAGGTGAAAAATACAAATGAAATGCACTTAATTTACTTAACCTGCCAAACACCATAGTTTCCCAACAGTGTCAGTTAGCAAATGTTATGGCCGACTGGGAGCTGCAGCTCTGTCGGGAGAATCAGACTAGAGTGCATCTGCATTGTCAAGACTTGAAAGTCAAAACCTTCTAGATTGTGGGACCGAGGATAAGGCAGTACAGATAGAGTGCTTACATGCAACAGCACCACATAAAAACAGCCCTGTACTAATGCCTGTAATCCTAGCACTCAGATAGAGGCAGAAAGAAGCTCAAGTCATTCTGCCTACCTTCAAGAGTTCAAGACCTGCCTGCCCGGCAGGAGACTCTTAGAAAACAAGACAAACACATGGCAATTTTCCTTGTAGTTTTCATCATTTAAAAACCGAGTCACCGCCGGGCAATGGTGGCAACACATCTTTAATCCCAGCACTCAGGAGGCAGCACTCTTGCTGAGTTCAAGGTTAGCCTGGTCTACATAGTGAGTTCCAGGAAAGCAAAAGCTACAAAGTGAGTCTGTCTTAAAAAAAAAAAAAAAAAAAAAAAAAAAAAAATCCTGAGCTAAGGGGACTTGAATAACTACAATAGTACTTTTAGTAGGGACAGTTCAAGATTATCATAGGCTAGGAAATAATTCTAGGCCAGCCTGGGCTACCAGACCCTGTCTCAATGGGAAAAGGGGAGGTGGCTCAGCAGTTAAGAACACCTGCTCCTTTCGGGGCATCGGTGGCGCCTTTAATTCCCACACTTGGGAGGCAGAGGCAGGTGGATCTCTGTGAACAAGGCCAGCCTGGTCTACAGAGTGAGTTCCAGGACAGGCTCCAAAGCCACTGAGAAACCCTATCTTGAAAAACATAAATGAACGAATGCCTGCTGCTTTTACCAAGGATCTCAGGTCAGTTCCCAGCATCTGTAGACAGCTCAGAACAATCGGTAACTCTGGTTCCAGGACATCTCAAGGCTGACCTGAGGGCCGCCAGGCACACATGTGGTACTCATACATACACACACGTGCAAAACACACAATTTAAATCTACAGGGCTGGAGCTCAGCAGTTAAAAGCACCTGTGGCTCCTGCAGAGGACCTAACTTCAACTCCAAACACCCAGTGCTCCTCTGACCCCGAAGAGACATGAGGATGTGCAGTTCACACTCACACATGCAGACAGAACATCCATACTCATAACCCTAAATGAAAGATTTTAATCTAAAATAAATGTTTCAGTTGGACTAGGATGAAGCTTAGCAATACAGCACTTTGCCGCAAGGCCCAGTGCCCAATCTTGAACACAAGAAAACTTAAAAAGCAAAAATTCTGAACTACTGGGAGTGTGTATCAAAGTTTTGTTAAAGATTTATTTTGTACAGTGTCCTACCTGTATACCAGAAGGGACCAGATCTCGTTACAGACGGTTGTGAACCATCATGTGGGTGCTGGGAAATGAACTCTGGACCCCTGGAAGAACAGCCATGCTCTTAACCTGAGTCATCTCTCCAGATCCAAACAGATTTTACAACACTTGGAAAGTGTGGCAGGGCTAACAGAAGCTCCGTGGGGCAGGAGAGATGGATCTGAGGTTAACATTTGCTGCTCTGTGAGGACCCGGATTCAATTCCAAGCACCCACGTGGCAGCTCACTAGACTCTAACTCTAGTTCCAGGAAGTATGACACCCTCTTCTAGCCTCTAGACACCAAGTACACACTGGGTGTACACACATACATGTAAGGAAACATTCATACACCATATAAAGATAAATCTTTGTTTTAAAGTTAAAGGCCACATGGGATATGTATAGTTTCAGACTAGCCTAAAATACATGAGACCCCCCCCAATTTAGCTTTTTTTTTAAAGCCAAATTAAAGCAGACACTCTGAAATGTCTACAATTTTTATAATTCTATTTATATAAAATGCTGGAAAATGTTAAACTAAAGTATAACCAACAGGGGAGTTCCACGGTTAGGGGTAGGAAGAGGGTAAATGGGTAACAAAGGAAACCAATGGAGATAGGAAGTGATATACCCTTCCTGAACCCTTGTGTAAGTTATACACATACATTAAGTGTTGAAATTAACAAGACTGCACATGGAAAGAAAATCAGCTTTATTGTAAGTATAATTTGAAGTCATACAAAATGTGCAGAAGCCATCTATTTCAGAAGTAAATTAACAAAGAGCACCACTTACTAAGATACTGCACATCTATTTCAGAAGTAAATTAACAAAGAGCACCACTTACTAAGATACTACGCATCTATTTCAGAAGTAAATTAACAAAGAGCACCACTTACTAAGATACTGCGCATCTATTTCAGAAGTAAATTAACAAAGAGCACCACTTACTAAGATACTGCGCAGCCCCAACACTGTGCTAACTTGTTTTACACAGCCCTAATAAATGTACCCTGGAAGGAAAAAATGAAGGTTAAGCGCACAAACAATGTGTTAGGTGTAGCACCGTTCCAGACCAGATCCAACCGTGTCCCTGGGCCTGAAGAGAGGCTGGGAGTCATCACCAACCTCCGCACATGCTCCCTGGTGTCTGTGCTGTCTGTCACCTGTACCAGGTGTGACTCAGCTACTGGACTGGACCACACAGATATATGAGTAACTTACAATGGCAACTTACCACTAATAAAGGAGAACAATTCAAGGCAGACATCACCCACCTAACACTACTTTTTGCACACCTCTACCAGAGCACATCTGCAGGGTAGAAACAACTGTGCTACCTTACTTCATCATGTCCCTCCCCACTGCACCCTTAAGGGCAGGGCTAACCAATACTCACTCATTCTCTCCCTCCCTCCCTCTCCCTCCCTCTCTCTCTCTCTCTCTCTCTCTCTCTCTCTCTCTCACACACACACACACACACACACACCTACCTATACCTACATCTTTCTACAACCATCACTTTTCCTTTCAGTGCTAGTGAGAAAAATACTCTTAGAGCCCCTACTTTTAACCCTTCAACTACAAATTGACTGCACAAAGCAAGCAGATAAGCATAAACGGTTCACAAGAGCTCACTCAAGCTTTCCGTGGGATAAAGGTTAAGATATATATCAGAGTAGCCAACATGCAGAGGTGGGGACTTACCTCCACTGGTAGGTGGAGTGTTTGTCTAGCAGAGGGAGCCCTGGGTTAGACCTCCTGAACTCTATAAACTGGGAGTGGTTCGCTGCACACCTGTAATCCAAGCACTTGGCAGGCAGAAGCAGAACAGCCGGTTCAAAGTTCAAGGTCACCTTCGGAATGCTAGTCAGGCTACCTGAACCATATCACAGA